GCTCAGCAGCTGCATTCTCCATGGGCATCCATTCCTCAAATGTCAGCCACAATTAACCTTGTACCTAAGATAAAGAGAGTAACATTAGCAGTGCCTCAAAAGGAAGTTATCAGAAAACTATGATTTGCTCAGGGACAGTCATGAATGGGTGTGCTTTGATGCAGATAACAAACTCAAAATACAGGCTGTATAAACTACGATGGTCTACTTGGAAAAAGTGTTATTTTACAGTCACAAGCGGGCACATGATCCTTAAGGGATAGAAGAGGCTTCCTCTAAAACAGCACAGCCAAACCCAAAAATATTAAGACACTCAAGGATCCTTATTAGGTGCAATGTGGCTGCTGAAAGCCTTATTCTGCTCACTGCTAATGTTTGTTTTTTGCAACTGTTTAGCTATGGCAAGCATAGACAAACTAGGCCCTCCAGATGTTTTGGGACTACAACTCCCATCATCCCTAGCTAACAGGACCAGTGGTCAGGGATGAGGCGAGTTGTAGTCGCAAAACATCTAGAGGGCCGAGTTTGCCTGTGCCTAAGCTATGGCATCTGCCCACTACCTTTCCTTTCGGGTGGAGGGAGGGAGGGAGAGAACTGAAGTGTTTTTTTAAAATTCTGGCAAGCTTCCCTAGGTGGGTGACTACTGTAAATTCCGGCGTATAAGGTGACTTTTTAACCCCGGAAAAGAGCTTAAAAGGTCGGGGGTCGCCTTATACACCGGGTATGGGTGGCGCGGAGCAGAGCTCGCCTCCCTGCTGCTGCTGCGATGGCGGCTCCGAAGCAGCAGCGGGTGGCGGGCTCAGCTCCGCGCTGGGAGAAAGCCGCCCGGTGAGGAGCCCGCCCTCCCCAAGTGGCAGGCTCAGCTCCGCCCCGGGCGGCTTTCTCCCGGCTTGGAGCTGCCCAGCGTATTAGGTGACTGGGCTTCTAAGACAAATCCCCAAATTGCAGCTGCTAATTTGGGGGGTCGTCTAATACGCCCATAGGGACGTGGGTGGCGCTGTGGGTTAAACCACAGAGCCTAGGACTTGCTGATCAGGTTGGCGGTTCGAATCCCCGGGACGGGGTGAACTCCCGTTGCTCGGTCCCAGCTCTTGCCAACCTAGCAGTTCGAAAGCACGTCAAAGTGCAAGTAGATAAATAGGTACCGCTCCGGAGGGAAGGTAAACGGCGTTTCTGTGCACTGCTCTGGTTCGCCAGAACCGGATTAGTCATGCTGGCCACATGACCCAGAAGCTGTACGCCGGCTCCCTCGGCCAATAAAGCGAGATGAGCGCCGCAACCCCAGTCGGCCACGACTGGACCTAATGGTCCCTTTACCTAATACACCCAGTTGCCTAATATGCCGGAATCTATGGTATATCTTTGCCACGGATGTCTTTTGTTTTTAATTCCATCTTGCTATTTTTCTGCTGTTTTTATTTTATTTCATACATCACCTTGGGACGTATGTGGAAGGTGAAAAATAGTAATACTCCCAAGACTACTGAACAGCATGTCTGAAATCCTGGTCAAAGCTTTTAACCAGTTTTCATCAGAGATTAAAGTCTACAGCTTTCTATGCCACCATTAAGGGCATTCCAGGTATCAGGGCAACAAGTGAACTGAACCCTGACAGCATATTTAACTGGTATTGAAGTCACCATCCCTAGTGGAGCCTCTTCAAAGCTTGCACTCATATCAGTGACATCTGCATATTCTTTTCCTGAAATGCCATTCACAGCTTGCCTTTAAAAAAAATTCTAGTTTTCGGGGGGGCCGCTAGGGGCGCCTTGAAAGATGGCCAACAATACCATCTCTCTGGCTTGCACGAGGTAATTAGAGGCTGATTATGGGGAGTACCGTATTTTTCGCTCTATAAGACGCACCAGACCACAAGACGCACCTAGTTTTTGGACGAGGAAAACAAGAAAAAAAATATTCTGAAACTCAGAAGCCAGAACAGCAAGAGGGATCGCTGTGCAGTAAAAGCAGCAATCCCTCTTGCTGTTCTGGCTTCTGTGATAGCTGTGCAGCCTGCATTCGCTCCATAAGACGCAAACACATTTCCCCTTACTTTTTAGGAGGGAAAAAGTGAGTCTTGTAGAGCAAAAAATACGGTATATCAGTCTCCCTCATTTTCCCAGGGGATGGGAAAATGCTGCCTCGCCCGCGGTTTGCCCATAAATCACCCCCAAGTTCGAAAGGAGGAGGGGGTGGGGGCACTGGGCGGAAAGCCCTTGTGCGAGTCCTGGAACTCCCGGACGCTACTTTCAGGAGCGAAACTGGCTGCGTTGCTTAAGAAGAAAAAAATTTGGAGAAGTAAACGCACATGCTTCGAGCGAGGTCAGGAGTGTGTTATCTGCTAAATAAATCTACCACTGAAATGATGAAGCTATGGAATGAACTGAGGACTATATCAAAGAAACACAACTATGTTGGTATGTGAAACGGAACGGAAAGGAGGGGGAGACTTTCTGCTTTTTAATATGATTTACCTAACAACCCCCCCCCCTTTAGAAGAACTGCCACAATGACTGACAGCAAGTGAGATGGAAAAATAAACTGTGTGGAAACAAAAAATGCTAATAAAAGGTTTTACTCTGTGGGAGATCTGAAAAGAATGGAGGCTTTCTTGTGCGTAGTTACAAAAGCGATCTGCCATTAAGGGGCAGACCTTGCTGCAAGATTGCCAGTCATAAGGAGTATGAGCCACTGTTTTGTTATCAGGTTGGATCGTAAATTTGAAAGGGCAACAAACCTCCTAAAGAACGGACGCTGAGACTGTATTTCATCAGAATTGTCTAAAATCGCGACTGCCGCTTGAACGGACTCTTGGATGGATTTATGTGAGATGAATTACGGGAAAGCATTTCAAAGTTCACACAGAAATATAAACAAGGCTGTTTCTTTTACCTCGCTTGTGGAGACAACTTGGAGGTTATTAAAAGAAAAAGGATAATGACAAGAAGATGAGAAGATGGGACTGTGAACATCAAAGCAGCAGAAATACAAGAAGATTGGACTCCTACCGAACTCGAAGCATGGGTACCCCCTACAAAAAAAAATAAAATTCGGCTTAACATTTGGACTTTGTGATTTGAATTGATATAATTGGGAATATGATTGGATATGATTGGTTTGATAAATGGAATTTTAATAAAAATTATTTAAAAATAAAAATAATAAAAATCTAGTTTATTCTCTCCTCTTCCCTCAGAAATTTGCAAAGGCTAGATTCCAAAACAGGGTGGTTATTTATTTACCCAAATTGAGCAGCCAAGAACTCACCACAAACTTCACTGAAGGTATCAGCAATTTAAGTTGTACACTCTATCTGCCCATCTTTAACTTGCAAAAAGCATGCAGTGTTCCTAACATTGCGTCCATCCACAGCTTACCTGTTGTACTATTAGAGTAGAAATCCATGTTGTCCACCAGCACTGCCATGCACCAGGTCACATATTAAAGCCCGCTATCATCCTGCAACAATTAAAACAGGCATGAAAGATTATTCTAGCACAAACTGCCCAAGCCCCTAACCACCCCCAGAAACACAGCAAGAATGCCTGTGTTTGCCAATTAACCTGCTTCAAGCTCTGATGCTTTAAGTTTGAGAGGTGGAAGGTTCACTGGATTGGAATGAACTGGAATGGCTTATGGATTCTCATTTCCTTTCCAATGGTGTTTTTCGTGGTAAATCCACAACCTGACTGGCATGTTTTAAGGATTATAGCAGAACTTTCTTCAAGTCTTACTACATTTCAAGAGCATCTTTTGGACTTCCTGGCTGCACCTGGATCATGACAACTTGCCACAGGTTTGTATCAAAACTGCCCACCTGACTTAGTACAAAGAAGTCAGGCATCCAACTAAACATCAGGTTTGTATTAACGGCTTGTCTGTAATTCCCCAAGCTGGTATATATTTTGGCTATTTAAGCCAATTTCTGATTTGCTAGCATTTTAATTTCCTAGTATAGTATAGTACAAGCAGTTGTTTTTTTAAGTTCTTCCTCGAAACATACTGGGCAAAAAATAACCCCTCCCAACCCTTTAAAGAATTTTTTTGTCTACAGTGAGTTGCTATCTTAGTGTTGCTTTCAAAAGCTTTGTGCCATACACAGTTTCATCTAAGATAAGGTTATGTTGAATTTGTAAGGCTTCGCCTAAGGCTATCCAGCAGTTTTTCTATTGGGTGCTGCTTTAAAATTTAAAAGAGCTTCCATTGCCATGATGTACAGCAAAGATGTTCCTTTAAAAATGAGACACTACAGGATTGCAAAAATTTGAAACAGTAAGAGCAAGTACTGTTTTGCAGCTTCTTTGATGGAACTGGCCAAACCTCTTACACATCTGTAGCTTGCTTACTACAGGTTAATATGGTGAGGTTCTTGCAAATTCCCAAACGAAGTATTTAGAAAGGCACAATGTACATTCAACATTATCCGTATGTCGTTTGGATTTAATGACTGAATGGTATCCTGAATTTTTACACAAGACTAAATTAATTTTCTATTTTGGAGCATTGTGTGCATTTCAGCATGGAGAGGATGTTTTAACATTTTAGTCTGGCACACATCCCACCACCCTCCAAAAGCTAAAATGGGTTTGCTAGAAAGAAGGCACATGTTTGCATGTGTAGAACGATCCATGGCCATTTTAGATGGCTGCACGTTGTACAGGAAGCCTTAGGGTTGCCGGTTTCATGGATGAGGTGAGAGCGTTGCATTTCAGGGTTAACCTTTACTTTAAGAAGTTACAACACTAGTACACAGGCTAAAAATGTCATACATTAACACCTGCATTCTGAGACAAATCTTAACAATTTTGAAATGAAATTAAAACAAGTTTACTTTCTCCTCACCAAAAAAAAAAATATATTAAGTAATGGAGGGGAACTTAACAAGAAACAATAAAAAAGATAAAGACAAATGTTTCAGTAGTCCTCTGGAGTGGGGATAGAACTTCCACATCTCATTTGTTGGAGGAAAAAACTGATTTGGTCCAGCACTTTTAAAGGTTTCAGTATCTGCTTCGGCCTCCACCTCTATCAGAGCGGCTCCCTCCACGGCCGCCACCTCTGGGTGCTCCGCGGCTGGAGCTGCTGTAAGAATCACGTGGAGGAGCATAACCCCTTTCCATAGAAGGGGTGAGGCCTCTGTCTTGTCTTCCCACACGATCCCGGCCACTTGAGTAGACATCACTTCTGCTGCTTGAGTAACTTTCTCGACTTCCACCATACCCATCTCGGGTGTTCCCATAATCGTCATAGCGACTGCTTCCACCATAAGATGGAGGGGGCCCTCGTGCAGGTGGAGCACTACGTGAGTTACCTGCAGGTTCAATGGTCAGGTAATAGGACAACACTATAAATCATATCACCACAACTTTACATCTAAGTTTAAAAGAATTTGTATCAATGGTGTCTGTTACTCTCTTGTATTAACTGAAAGTTTTAATATACATTTGGCAGGGGAGTATCGGATAGTGAATGAAATAAAGACTGTTCGAAGACGATATTTCTCAAGGCAGCTCTTTTTGGGATTATTCCAGAACAGCTTGCTATTTTTACAACAGAAATTCCACCATTTTTTTTCTCCAGTGATAGATGCAATTCAGAACAGTTGAACTTTTGCTTCGTTAGTTTATGGGAAATGTAATTCAATCATTTTGTTTAAAATGAAGTAACGGTGTATTTTCACTGCAGTGGACAAGCCCAGAATGCCAATTCCCCACTTAAGTAGATGCAGTCTATTAAGTCAAGAGTGAGGCCTATTGAGTTCCTGAAGACCTTCAAAATAAGCACTTACCATAACTCTCATAGGAATTTCTGTATGAGCCCCCACTTGGGTGATCAGAGTAGTCCCGGTCACGCCCTCCACAGCCATCACGATTACTGTAAGAAGAGTAACTGCTGGGGTTTAGTACAGGCCATTGCTATAATAATAATAATAATAATAATAATAATAATAATAATAATAATTTATTATTTATACCCCGCCCATCTGGCTGGGTTTCCCCAGCCACTCTGGGCGGCTTCCAACAGAACACTAAAATACAATAACCTATTAAACATTAAAAGCTTTCCTAAACAGGCTGCCTTCAGGTGTCTTCTAAATGTTGAGTAGTTGTTTTTCTCTTTGACATCTGGTGGGAGGGCGTTCCACAGGGCGGGTGCCACTACCAAGAAGGCCCTCTGCCTGGTTCCCTGTAACCTTACTTATCGCAATGAGGGAACCGCCAGAAGGCCCTCAGCGCTGGATCTCTGTGTCTGGGCAGAAAGATTGAGGTGGAGATGCTCCTTCAGGTATACTGGACTGGAGCCATTTAGGGCTTTAAAGGTCAGCACCAACACTTTGAATTGTGCTCGGAAACGTACTGGGAGCCAGTGTAGGTCTTTATATGGTCTCGGCAGCTGCTCCCAGTCACCAGCCTAGCTGCCGCATTCTGGATTCGTTGTAGTTTCCGGGTCACCTTCAAAGGTAGCCCCACATAGAGTGCATTGCAGTAGTCCAAGCGAGAGATAACTAGAGCATACACCACTCTGGCGAGACAGTCTGCAGGCAGGTAGGGTCTCAGCCTGTGTACCAGCTGCCCTAGACACAGAATTAACCTGCGCCTCCATGGACAGCTGTGAATCCAAACTAACTCCCAGGCTGCGCACCTGGTCCTTCAGGGGCACAGTTACCCCATTCAGGACCAGGGAGTCCTCCACACCAGCCCGCCCCCCTGTCCCCCCAAAACAGTACTTCTGTCTTTTCAAGATTCAACCTCAATCCATTAGCCACCATCCATCCTCCAACCACCTCCAGGCACTCACACAGGACCTTCACCGCATTCACTGGTTCTGATTTGAAAGAGAGGTTGAGCTGGGTTTCATCTGCATATTGATGAACACCCAGCCCAAAAGCCCTGATGCTCTCTGCCAGCGGCTTCATGTAGATGTTAAAAAGCATGGGGGAGAGGACGAAACGCTGAGGCACCCCACAAGTGAGAGCCCAGGGGTCTGGACACTCATTCCCCACCACCACTTTCTGAACATGGCCCATGAGAAAGGAGCGGTACCACTGTATAACAGTGCCCCCAGCTCCTCTAGACGGTCCAGAAGGATGTTCTGGTCGATCGTGTCAAAAGCCGCTGAGAGATCCAGCAGAACTAGGAAACAGCTCTCACCTTTGTCCCTAGCCCACCGGAGATCATCAACCAGTGCAACCAAGGCAGTTTCAGTCCCATAGTGAGGCCTGAATCCCGACTGCAAGGGATCCAAATGGTCCGCTTCTTCCAGGCGTGCCTGGAGTTGTTCAGCAACCACTCTCTCAATACCTTGCCCAAGAATAGAAGATTTGAGACTGGGCGATAGTTGGCCATGTTGACAGCATCTAAAGATGTTTTTTTAAGAAGCGGTTTGATAACTGCCTCTTTCAGCGGGTCTGGGAAGGCTCCCTCACAGAGAGAAGCATTCACCACCCCGCAAAGCCCATCACCCAGCTAGCTTTTATAAGCCAGGATGGGCAAGGATCAAGGAGACAGGTGGTTGGTTTCACTCGTCCAAGCAGCCTGTCCACATCCTCGGAGGTAACAGATTGGAATTGATCCCACACAACTTGACTAGACAGGACTCTAGCACTCTCCCGCCCTGGCCCTGCTCCCACTGTGGAGTCTACCTCTTCCCGAATCTGAGCGACTTTATCTGCAAAAAACTTTGCAAAATCATTGCAGGAGATCATGTGGCCCATACTGGGCCCCGATGGAGCAGGTGGTTACGCTAAATTGTGAACCACCTGAAAAAGTCTCCTGCTGATGTTTTCTACAGATGCAATAGAGGCAGTGAAGAAAGTCTTCTCCGCTGTTGCTCCCGTCACTTGGTAGGCTCGACACTGAGCTCTAACCCGTGTCCGGTCAGCTTCAGAATGAGTTTTCCGCCACCAGAGCTCTAGCTGTCTCAGTGATTGTTTCATTGCCCTCAGATCCGTTGAAAAGCATGGGGCTGTCCGGGCTCCATGCAATCGGAAAGCATGCTTCGGAGCCAAACAGTCAATAGCCCTGGTTAACTCCACATTCCAGTGGGCCACCAGGGAATCAGCTGAAAGACCACCAACATGGGATAAAACATCCCCTAGCACTCTTTGGAAACCATTTGGATCCATTAAGTCGCAGGGGCAGACCATCCGAATTGGTCCCACCTCCCTGCAGAGGGGAAGGGTCACAGTGACTTTTGCACAGAGTAAGGTAGACCTTTCACTTATACCCTGTTCTTCCTCAAAAGAATCTTAGATTTGGTTCCCAAGCAGTCTCCCATCCAGTTCGTTTTGAGATGACCCACCCTTTAGTCCCAATACCCTGCCTGACTCAGTCTAAGTACACATAACTAAAATAATCAAAGATCTATCTATCCTTGCATCAATTACCCCCCCCCCCCCCACTATTTCCTTTGTGTCTACATAAGTCACTTGGGGTAAGAACTAGTCAAAGCTGTTCTTTGCAGAGCATCATGAATATCAGGGGTGGTAGTCAGAAGATAGATCTGGATCTATTAGTAGATCAGCAAAGATTTGTGATTCCCAATTATAGCAGCAAAATGTAGAAAGCTTGTGGCAACCATTAAAGGGTCTGTGCGTAGAACATGAGCGCTGTTCAGTTGAACTCCTGGGCTCAAAATTCTTTAATTCCAAGTACATCATTTACACTAGACTCCTGTTACTAGATTCCTAGGTTTTAGTTCCAAATAAAGTATATTCCAAAAGCCTGAAGTCTGCCCCATCCCTGATAAACATAGATGGTGCTATAGAAAATAATGACATATAGCTTCCCATAGACCTACATTATCCACCTTCACATGGCTGGCTAGTGGCTTTAGAACTGCTTAAAGAAAGCCAACAATTGTTCATTGGTTTCTCTTCTGTAACATAAGAGGGATACACATGTTCTTGTAGCACCTTAAATATAAACAGATTTAGTATGGCATAAGCTTCCATGCACCACAGTCCACTTCACCTGACACATGAAGTACTATCCTTAGTTGCAAGTAGGTATAAGACTTCAGAAGTGTCTGATGAAAAGGACTGTAGTCCACCAAACCTTCTGGCATAATGAAGCTGCTCAAGGTGCCACAAAACACTTGTTATATTATTGTGCTTATCGTTTGAATCAAGTACAAAGAAGCACACTGCAAACTGAAACATAAGCTTGACTAACTTGTTGAATGAAATATTAAAAGATTTGTTTGAGAATACACAAAAGTGAATGTTAAGTACCTGTAACCTCTTGAGAGATACTCATCACGTGAACGGGAATGACCATAATCACGGTAGGCATAATCTCTTGGAGGTGGAGTATATTCTTTTTTGTCTCTGGAACTTGCCAACTGAACAATGAGCTTGACTAGCGTGTTAATGGAATATGAGAGATTTGTTCAACAACACACAAAATCAAACATTAGCTACCTGTAGCCTCTTGAGGGGTATTCATCACGTGAACTGAAGTGACCATAATCACGGTAGGCATAATCTTTTGGCGGTGGGGCATAATCTCTTGTTTCTCTGGAGCTTGGATAGTCCCGACTTGAATAGCTATGGAAATGAAAACTAAAGTATTTTTTCCGATAGTGAAGTGCAGGAGCTCCTCATAACAGCTCACAGCCATACGCTCAAGCAGAGTCCTAATGCAGCAGCAGACACCCTACCACAAAGTGGAGGAGACATAGTGTAACATCTAATTAGACTTGGCTGACAAGTCACAGAATACTGAACTTCAAAAGGACCCTGAGATCAGTGCAATTAAAGCACTGAAGATGATTCAAGAGTTCGGACAAGTTGCAGGTTTCAAATTGAATAAGAATAAAACCAACGTTTTAGGGGGGAAAATAACAATACATGAAAAACTTAATTTAGAGGAAACCACAGGGCTGAAGTTTGTGAAAAAGGTGAAATATCTGGGTGTAAATATGACTGCAAAAAAACTGAATTTGTACAAAGACAACTATGAAAAGTTATGGAAAGATATCAAAAGGGATTTGTATATCTGGACAAGGTTGAAACTATCTTTGTTGGGCCAAATTTCTGGGATAAAGATGAATGTATTGCCTAAGTTGTTATTCTTGTTTCAAGTACTTCCTATCATTGATAAGTTGAATTGTTTTAAGGAATGGCAAAAGGTATTATCTAAATTTATCTGGCAGGGGGGGAAACCCAGAATTAAATTTAAATTATTAACAGATGTGAAAGAGAGAGGGGATTTCTCCCTGCCAGATTTAATGATTTACTTAGAAGCTGCAGCCTTTTGCTGGCTGAAATAATGGTTTTTATTGGAAGATACAGATGTTTTAGATTTGGAAGGTTTTGATAATGTATTTGGTTGGCATGCATATTTATGGTACGACAAGATAAAAGCTCACAAAGGATTTAAAAATCATAGAGTTAGAAAATCTTTGTACAATGTTTGGATGAGATATAAGGATTTGTTTAGAAAGGAAAACACCCAGGTGGATATCACCATTGGAAGCTAAGACCCATAAAAGGTTGAATATGAAAGACACGTGGTTGAAGTATAATATTTTGATGGAAGTAGGTGACCAATTTAGATTAAAATCTTATGATCAGTTGAAAGATAAAGTAGATGATTGGTTCCAGTACATCCAGATAAATGAAGTGTTTAAAATGGATAAGAAAATCGGTTTTCAAACAGAGAAATCCAATCTGGAAACGGAATTACTAGATACAAAAACAAAAAACCTATCTAAGATATATAATTTATTGCTGGAATGGCATACGAAAAGAGGAACAAGTGAAATCTGTAATGACTGAATGGGCCAGGGATGTGGGGCACAGTATCATGATGGTGGATTGGGAGAAATTGTGGAAAAAGGGAATCAAATTTACAGCTTGTAACGTATTAAGAGAAAATTTGATGAAAATGAAGTACAGATTGTATTTAACACCAGTGAAGTTAGCAAAAATGTATCATACTCATGATAATAAATGCTGGAAATGTAAAGAAAAAGAAAGAACCTTTTACCACATGTGGTGGACGTGCCCCGAGGTAAAAGACTTCTGGGAAAGGATTTACAATGAACTGAAAAAAGTGTTGAAAAACACATTTATTAAGAAACCAGAAGCCTTTTACTTGGCATAGTGGGGGGTGAAATCCCCAAAAAGGATGTTACTTTTTTTCTGTATGCCACAACAGCTGTGAGAATGTTGCTAGCGAAGAATTGGAAGAAACAAGATTTACCAACTATAGAAGAATGGCAGATGAAGATGATGGACTATATGGAACTTGCCAAACTGACTGGGAGACTCCGAGACCAGAGAGAGGAGACAGTGGAAGAAGATTGGAAAATGTTTAAGGAATATTTGAAAAAATATGTTAATATTTAAATCTTAGAATAGCTTTGGAAGTGGATATAGGCTGTAGGGTTAGAAATAGAAGCTAGTGTATTTTAAAATAGTATTATTTGTAAATGAAATGTGAAGATTTTTATGGTTAAAGTAAGTGTGATGATAAAAAAAAATAGTTAGAAATTATGATATATGTAAACTGCTAAAGATGAGTTAAAATGAAAATCAGATGGGGGGACTTGGGGAAGCCCACCTAACAATGTTTAGAAAAAATAAGGATAAGACAAGAATGTTTAAAGAAGAGAATCCAAAATGAGAAGAAGGATAAAATATTGGAGAAAATAAAGGAAAGTGAAAAGAAATTGAGAGCAAAACCAAAGTCGCAAGAGATTTTGAGAGAAATAAAGTTATACCAAGTACAATACATGAAAATGATGAATCAGGAGATAGAATGGAAAATCAAACAAATGAGACAAAAGACATTCGAGTCGGCTAATAAATGTGGGAAATTGTTGGCTTGGCAAATGAAAAAAAGACAAAAACTAAATACTGTTACAAATTTAGAACTGGAAGGAAGGAACATACAGAACCCAGCTGAGATTAGAAACTGTTTCCAGAGGTATTTTAAACAACTATATACACAAGAGCCACAGAAAGAAATTGAGGTAGACCGATTTTTGAAAACAAATGGATTACAAAAAATCTCTCAAGAAAATAAATTAATGTTGAACTATAAAATAACTGAACAGGAGGTAGAAGGTGCCATTCAGAATATGCAATTAGGTAAATCTCCAGGACCGGATGGACTGACTTCTAGATACTACAGATCTTTAAAAGAATGGTTAGTACAACCTTTAAAGGAAGTCTGCAACGAAATAATGGATGGGAAAAGGGCACCAGAGTCGTGGAAAGAAGCGTATAGTACACTTGTACCGAAAACAGAGATTGAAAAGACGCAGCTTAAGAACTACCGCCCCATATCACTGCTCAATGTGGATTATAAAATCTTTGCAGACATTTTGGCTAAAAGACTAAAAAAAGTGCTAGTGGAAGAGATACATAAAGATCAAGCAGGCTTTCTCCGGGTAGACATTTGTCTGATAATGTGAGAAACATAATCAATATTTTAGAAAAATTACAAGTGAATATAAATACTAAGGCAGTTTTGATATTTGTGGATGCGGAGAAAGCTTTTGACAACATTTCTTGGAGTTTCATGAAGAAGAACCTACAGGGGATGGGGGTAGGCCAAGGTTTTGGAAACGGTGTAAGTGCAATTTATTCAGAACAAAAGGCCAAATTAATTGTAAATAACGTGGTGACGGAAGAATTTAAGATAGAAAAAGGGACACAACAAGGTTGCCCAATCTCCCCACTGCTTTTTATATCGGTCCTGGAGGTCCTGTTGAATATGATTAGAAGGGACCAATTGGTTAAAGGTATACAAGTCGGAGCTAAACAGTACAAATTGAGAGCATTTGCAGATGACTTAGTATTGACATTACAGGAGCCAGAATCTAGTACTAAAAGGGTTTTGGAACTGATTCAAGAATTTGGTCGGGTTGGAGGATTTAAACTGAATAAGTTAAAAACTAAGGTTTTAGAGAAAAATTTAACAGCGATTGAAAGAGAGAGGTTTCAGAATGAGACAGGTTTAACAGTGGTTAAGAAAGTGAAATACCTGGGGATTAACATGACAGCTAAAAACGGGAATCTATTTAAAGACAATTATGAAAAATGCTGGACTGAAGTGAAAAAAGATTTAGAAATTTGGTCAAATTTGAAGCTTTCACTGCTAGGCCGTATTGCTGCGATAAAAACGAATGTTTTGCCTAGAATGTTGTTTCTGTTTCAAACATTGCAAATTTTGGACAAAATGGACTGCTTCAAGAAGTGGCAGGGAGATATCTCTAGATTTGTCTGGCAGGGCAAGAAGCCTAGAATAAAATTTAAAATACTAACGGATGCAAAGGAAAGAGGTGGATTGGCCCTGCCAGACCTTAGACTTTACTATGAATCAGCAGCTTTTTGCTGGCTGAAAGAATGGCTGCTTCTTGAAAACACAGACATTTTGGACTTAGAAGGTTTTAATAATGTATTTGGATGGCATGCATATTTGTGGTATGATAAGGTCAAAGCACATAAAGCATTTAAAAATCATATTGTCAGGAAAGCATTGTTTAATGTCTGGATAAGATATAAGGATCTATTGGAAAATAAAACCCCAAGGTGGCTGTCACCGATGGAAGCGAAAGCTCAGAAAAAGCTCAATATGGAGGCCAAATGGCCGAAATATTGGGAAATTCTGGAACAAGGGGAGATAGATTGAAACTGCAGAGTTTTGAGAAACTAAAAAACAAAGTGCGAGATTGGCTTCATTATTATCAGATAATGGAGGCATACAATTTGGACAAGAAAATTGGCTTCCAGGTGGAAAAATCAAAATTAGAAACAGAACTGTTAGAACCCAAAACTAAGATTTTGTCAAAGATGTATAACTTGCTGTTGAAATGGAATACTCAGGATGAAACGGTGAAATCTGCTATGATTAAATGGGCACAAAATGTTGGACATAACATAATGATGGCTGACTGGGAACAGTTATGGACCACAGGTATGAAGTTTACAGCATGTAATGCCTTAAGAGAGAATATTATGAAAATGATATACAGGTGGTACATGACACCAGTCAAGCTTGCAAAAATCTATCACTTGCCCGATAATAAATGTTGGAAATGTAAAGAAACTGAAGGTACATTCTTTCACCTTTGGTGGACGTGCCCAAGGATTAAGGCTTTCTGGGAGATGATTTATAACGAAATGAAAAAGGTATATAAATATACCTTTCTGAAGAAACCAGAGGCCTTTCTCCTGGGCATGGTCGGCCAATTGGTGCCAAAGAAGGACAGAACTTACTTTATGTATGCCACAACAGCAGCAAGAATACTTATTGCAAAGTATTGGAAGACACAAGATTTACCCACTCTGGAAGAATGGCAGATGAAGGTGATGGACTATATGGAACTGGCGGAAATGACTGGCAGAATCCGAGACCAGGGAGAAGAGTTGGTGGAAGAAGATTGGAAGAAATTTAAAGACTATTTACAGAAATATTGCAAAAGTAATGAATGTTAGAATGATGTCAGAATGAAGTTAAGTGGTTTTAGCAGCAATGTTATAAAGGTGTATGTAAAAATGGATTGTTAACAGGTGAGAATCCAAAGTTATAATTTATTAAGTTAAAGGATTAAGACATAAACAAAGAGGGAAAGGAATTGCTGAATTAACTAATTGAACTGGAATACAAAAAAGGGAGGTGTGAGGAGGTCAAGGAAGCAAGGAAATGAAATGTAAGGTATGGAAGGATGGATTTGTTTTTAAGTGTTTTTTATCTTTTTTCTGTATTTTGTATTTTTTCTTTATTTCTTTCTTTTTTTCTTATCTATGTAATCTTTTTTTTGAAACCTTAATAAATATCATTTTAAAAAAAATGTTTGTATTGGTTTTTTTTCTGTTTGTGTTGTTTACTTGTGTTATAAAATGATTTTTTTTTAAAAAAAAAAAGGTCACAGAATACTGAACTTCAAAAGGTGGTGTAGCCACTAGCATCTTAAACTTGGGATGCAGAAACCTGAGTTAACTTCTCTGATTAGCATTTAGCTTTAAATAAGAAATACAACCAATTCTACAATTAATTGCTACAATTTAAATGACTAGAATGAAGTACAAATTCAATTAAAAGAAAGAAAATATCCAGCCACTTTGATTTTCCTCATTCTTCCTTTATGCAGATAACAAATTGTTCATAAACAGTAAACACCGGAAGCCTCATTATCTCATTGATTTGCCAGAACAAATCAATTGTCTGACTGTCCTGACAGATGGGACACGCCCAGTCCAAAAAATGTCCCAGACACCCTTTCCATTAAATCACTGCTTCTGCAATCAAAATGCAGTAGGTTCAATAATTAAGTTCCTTGATCTGAAAAATATCCAACAGGGTTTGGTTTTACCTGTCTTTAGTACTGTAACCATCATCTCTTGGAGACAGGTAGACATCTCTTCGTGATGGCAGTGGTTCTCTGCGTGGCGGTCCTCCATAACCGTCTCTACCACGTGAGAGGGGTGCTTAAGTAATCAAGCAGAAAATGAAATATTTTTGAAATAAAGCCTTCTGAAAACAAGGTATTAGTAGAGAAAGTTGTTCCCACCATGAGCTAAGACCACACCATACTGAATCAAACTTTTCTGTGGTGGTTTAAGTTCAATACAACCTCTATCAGCAAGATGAAGAGATAGCAAAGTCCTACATTATACTGAAAGAAAGGTTGCTTTCAGTTCTTCCAAACAGAGGCCTAGTCAAACTAAGCATACATCAACAAGGGCTGACTAGTGAGTATTTAGCCCATATTCTACAACTCAAGAATCCTTTTCCAACGTGTTGCATAGGACTCACATGTGGAGATATGCTGAAAACTGAAGTCATCCAGCATAACTAAGGAGTGTCAATTCATACCTCTTAATCCAGCAAGGGGTATCTGCCCTAACACAGAGACACTAGCGGGGACTTGCTCCCAACATAGCACTGCTGGAGGGTCCTGGAAGCAGCACAACTAACTTGCTATTTCTGAGTGCCAGTAAAACTCAGCACAGTTGTAAAAGCCTTTCTCCAACCACCACAGATTTGTGGATCCATGCAATGGACAATAAAAAAATACTTTATTACATTTACATGCGGTTTGGCATCAAAGTGATTAAAAAAATTACCTCTGCCTCCCATTCCACTACTGCTACGAACAGGTCCAGAAGGAGCAGGTCTTTTAGGTGGTGGGCCACCGCTACGTGGGGGTGGACCCCTTTTCAGCGGTAGAGGGCCTCTAGAAGAACCTAAAAGATCAGCAATGTGCCAGCTAGATAGCAGAAACAAGATTCCTCAGACAGTTCTGCCTCACTAGCACAATGTACCACTGTGGCAGTACCCATGATACACACAGAATATTCTACACTGTCCCTTCCCAGATTTGGAACAGAACTGATTCTCAGCAGCTCTTTCCGATAATTTGAATAACTATGATTTTACCGTTCGGTTTTCATGAATTTGTTGTTTATTTATTTGCTGCTGTGTTTGTTATTATAGGGATTGCAATACTTGTTTTTAAATGTTACTGACACCGATTAAACAACTTCTGCCTAAACTTGCAAAATTTCAGTTAAGGCAAATTGCCAATTTGCTTAACATGAGATTAATCCCTGGCCCAATTTCCAAAATACACCTCAATGTTTTAAGCAAGCCTACAAGTTTGCTTAGCTTCATCTCTATACTTGAGTACATCAAACACAAGAACAGCATTCATCCTGTGAAATAGCAGGACGACAATCTTTTCCCAAACTTCCAAAAGGGGTAAGATAACCACCAGAAATTCATCATTTGTATTGTGTCTAGAGCTGGGTGATATATTGGTAAATTGTCTGAAACCAGTATGGCATTCAGATCGCAGTATCTGTTTCAGATATTTTTAGGGGCTTCTTGCCCCTCAGCCAAGAAGTTTAAGGCAATATGGGGCCTTACTTAACTGCAGGGTATATGCATCTAGGCTGTTTATTCCTCCCCTAAGGTGGAGAGAAGTGGCAGCTAAGATATATCATGATGTTTGGAATGTAGCAGTATAATACAATATTTAGCTGCTGATATATAAAATGTTGAAAACCAGACACTGCACAGTCCTAATTGTTTCTTGATTTTGAGAGTAGGCTGTAAACCAGCATTCTCTATGCAGTGTCTTGTATGCTGCCCAATTACACATGGGAAAACACACATACCCAAATAACTCCCTCTTGAAGGGGGACCCCGTGTTCCACTTCCACCTCTTCCACCTCTAAAACCTCTTGGAGGACCTCTGCTCCTTGGAGGGGGAGGGGGCCCACGTCTACCGGTTTCAAAGGATGGCTTGGTAGCTTGTTCAACTTTAATTGATCTTCCGTCTAAAGACTGAACAAAGGAATCTAACTTAACATTAATTGCAAATGCTTCTTTTTGTAGGACAGTGCGCCTCAGTTCTTATCCCTGCTATGGTTTCTAGCAAATACGTTTGGTTTTGTATTATGCAGATAAAAAACATAATTTTAAAAATGAATATATTGCTTTAACCCCACTTTGTAAACCACTCTAGGATTTAACCAACCAAGGTGAACTTAAAAATTGAACACCCATATTCTACGGCTACATGCTTTCAGTATGTCAGTCTTATTTGTTTACATACAATTCTTCTAGATCTTTAGTTTCCAAGTGCATTCAAACCAATTTTCAGAAGCAAAGGTTTTGCCATGATGTGCATATTAGTTTCTGTTTTGCCACTGAGCAGCTGCTTAGAGTCACAAGGCTGTACCTATGTACAGAAATTGGGTTTGTACTGAGATTGTACTGACATGCTGCCCAGTGGTGTTCACAGAAAGGGGGAGGATGTTAGTTTCTGTTTTGCCACTGAGCAGCTGCTTAGAGTCACAAGGCTCTGTTTACATTCCAGAGATAGTCCAGACTGTTGGAAGTCTCACGGGAGACTAGAGGCGAATGTGACGTTAGTGGTTTCCTGTTTCCTTTGTTCCTTTGTTTCAGTTGCTCTCTGCTTTCATGGAGAGAGGATGTATATTTCTTTGCTTTCTGCGTAGTAAGAAATAAAGCATAGCATGTAGCCATAAATCTCATCACTTCTGCTGCTTTGATACTCTGCTTAATGTGGGAACGTGCCTTGGAGCCTTATTAAAGGCTCAGGTCGTTAAACACGTCGGGAGGCGATTCCGAAGGACTCAGGGGAAGAAAATGAGCTTTATCAGCTTGGTCGAGCGGAGATGCCGACAGTGCATGTTATTAAAAAGTAACAGTCACTACAGGTATTTTCTAGAAATAATTGATTGAGCCATCACAATCAGGAAGCAATGCTGTATTATTCAGGCAGTTCTTGAGACATCCAGTTTCATTCTTAATTTAAGAGTAGCCCATAGAATGCCCATACTAGCATTCTTGAAGAAAATAAGCCATAAGGCTTTATTTGTCTTAAAGCTAACCCTTAACATCCTTAAACAAATTCCCTTAGCATCCCTAAATGCTATTACCCAAGCATTCACTCCATTATAACACATCACTGAACTTGTCTCATTAATAAAAGCAACTCTGTCAATCAATCAATCCAATCACCCTCAGCTTGACACTCTGCAATTAACACATTAGTTCCTACCTTTCCATTCATATCTCTGGCAGCATCCTTGGCATCTGCTGGACTCTCGAAGGTAACAAAAGCAAACCCTCTTGATTTGTTGGTTTCACGGTCTTTCATAAGGAGAACTGAAGAAAGACAAAAGTGTTATTCCACTTTCATCTTAGAATGGTGTATCCCAAGTTGTACACAAGCCTGCTCAGAACTTCTTAGAGGACATATAAGCTCTATCACTTCAACTGATCAAAGCTGTAAAATTCATCAAAGCAGACCTTTAACTTAATATTATGCCCTAAAAAGGCTGTGTGCTTACCCTCTACTATATGGCCATATTTGCCAAAGACAGATTCAAGAGCCTTCTCATTAGTCTCTGTGTTCAGCCCACCAATGAACAGCTTGCCAGGACGATCTGCTTCAACCATTTTGACACAGTTTGGGATCTGGAACAACACACATTCAACTTGAAATGGGAGAAGCTTGGGTCCTTTGGAAATATTTGACAAAACAACAGGATAAATCCTCAGACAGCAATATGCAGATATTGAAAAATCTGATTAGGGCTTGATGGTCCTTATCAGCTTGTCCATGCCCTTAGTTGCTAAACAGAAATGGCAGCATCCTTTTTGTGGTGACCAAGGCGTTGCTTAAAAAGGTAAAGGGACCCCTGACCATTAGGTCCAGTCGTGGCTGACTCTGGGATTGCGCGCTCATCTCGCTTTATTGGCCGAGGGAGCCAGCATACAGCTTCTGGGTCATGTGGCCAGCATGACTAAGCCAGTTCTGGCGAACCACAGCAGCACACGGAAACGCCGTTTACCTTCCCGCCGGAGCGGTACCTATTTATCTACTTGCACTTTGACGTGCTTTCGAACTGCTAGGTTGGCAGGAGCAGGGACTGAGCAACGGGAGCTCACCCCGTCGTGGGGATTCGAACCGCCGACCTTCTGATCGGCAAGTCCTAGGCTCTGTGGTTTAACCCACCGCGCCCCTAAGGCCTTGCTTAAAAGCATCTAATTGAGAACAAATATTGACACTACAAACACATTGCCCCAAAATACAGAACAATGGCCCTTTAATTACTACCTGCCGTCTCCCACATGGATGTTTATTTATTTTGCTTTTTGTGAACTTTACTGAAATTGATTAATAGCAAAACATTATTTTGTATGTTATGTCCAAATATACAAATAAAAATCTGTTCAAACTTATACAATTCCTTTCCCCATACATTATTATTCATATACATAAGACTTCCCATCACCCCCACTGTATTTAGTTTCTTTTTTCTGTTGTACTAATAGTTGTTACTTTGTTCTTTCTATGTTATCTTATACTTCCTTACATCTTTTTGTATCCATTTGCATTATCTTTGCTATTTTACACAGAAATATCCCACAGGGATATTTAAGTCGGCCCCCCACCTGAATTTTTTTCCCCATTAAAAGGAAGGCGGGGAAACTACTTAGCCCTTTTATTGAGACAAGGAATACATTCAGAATTCTACCGAACAGTTCACTAAACAATAATATAAACAAGCAACTTCTGAATATATTAGATCACCACTATGTTGTATGCTTTGCAATGTTTCTATACTCCACCATCACAACATTATTGGCTAAAGGCTCAGTGAGGAACTTTCAGGATTTAAAAAACTGTGTTCAACAAGGTCCATCAACAGCCCAATCCTACCCACACATATTTTGAAGTAGCAAGCTGACCCAAATTTGTAGCAGGGAGGGAGAGCTTAAATCAATTTATGGTGCTTAAGCACACCAAATGACAAGGAGTCACTGCTCTTAACTCTGTTATATGAACTACAACTTGAGGAACTTACACACAGTAAGCCGATTGGTACATCCAGCTCAGTATTGTCTGCTCTCCAGGGTTTCAGGGGTCTTTGCCAGTCCTGCCTAGAGATGCTGGGACAGGACCTGAAACCTCCTGCCTGCCAAGCAGATGCTCCACCACTGAGCTACAGCCCTTCCCCTAAACATGAACCTGAGGCGTTTGCTTTCCCCTCCTCCATCCTATACTTTTTAAAGTTTATTTTTAGACTCTTAAGCCCAAGGACAGCGCCTGCCATAATAAAGATTTATGCTTTTATAATAGTGATTTTATAAGCCGCTCTCAGAGCCTTTCTTGGCTACAATAGAGAGGGGGGAGGGAAACTCGGAAATTAAAGAAAAGCAAGCAACTGAATATACCCAAAATGACAAAAGGCCACATTCAGGTAACCCTGCGGCCGCGCATGCGCGACGCTGAGACCGCCAAGAATAGGGGAGGGGGTGAAAGCGCATTCCATTAAGACGCAAGAAAAGAACGAGTCGCGCCTGCGCAGTCGCGGTTTCCAGCGCCCACCCGGCGCCCTCGCGCGTGATGCGCACTTCGGAGAAAGGGGAGGGGGCCACAAAGGAGGGGCTGAAGGCGATCGCAAAATGGCGGCTTTGGCGACCCTCCCTCCCTCCCTGCCAGGCCAGCCCAGCCCAGCCCCCCTTCTCCTCCCCCCTCCGGCTCACTTTTCCCTCAGGGCTGGCCCAAGGCGGCAACCGACCCCCGCCCGCCCCTCCCTCACGGTTTAAAATGGCGCCTCCGTATGAATGAGAGGAACGGGCGTTGAGAAGGGCGTGTGCGTATGAGGAATTAAAAAGGAATAAGCGGCAGATCGCAGAAGGCGAATCTCTCCCCACGCTCACTGCCACCGGTGTAAAACAATTGGTGTGGATAGTAAAGGGCAGGCGATTCGAAAGGCGTGCGCGCGTGCGCTTCTCTCTCCCCCCCGCCCGCGCGAACTTACCTCCAAAACGCTAGCTCATCAGCAACAATGCACTGAGGAGGAGGAAAGGCGCCGAGGGCCTTTATATAGCTGACGTCAGCACATTCGTCTCGAGGCCAGAAAGCCCGGATGTAGGAGTAAAAAGGAATGGGACGGGGCAAGGGGGGGGAGCAGGGACACACCGGGCAAGATAGGCGTGGCCTTTTCAGATAGGAGGGCAGCTTTCTCTGGAGAATTGTTGGGGTGTGTGCATATGAAAGAAAGAAAGAAAAGGCTCAATCAGCACAAGCACAAGAATATGTAAAAAAATCAAATGGGGGGGGGTTCTATATAACAGTGCAAAATGGTCCCCGACTGTACTGTATTGTTGCATGCCGCCCCAATCTCTGAGTGGGGATTCCTGGAGTTTTACACAGGGTCTGTGATGTCTTCTGAAAATGAGGCACTGTGTTGTCTTTCTGATATATGGGTAATTTGCACATACACTATATACAACCTTGATGGCTCATCTTCCAGGCCATTACCTCATCAGGAAACTGGCCTGTCTTATGTTTTAACTTTTCCTGGATCCAGGGATTCAGGAGACTTGCTTAAATTCTAGCACTTACTGGACCCAGGAATATTATATACTATTGTATTGTAATAGGAATTTTATGGTCTTAGAGCTATGGTAATGTTCATAAGTGTACCAACCAAGCACATACATAGATCAGCACAGGAAGGTCTACCTGGAGCCATTTTGATTCCTAAACTGACCAAATCTTTTCTCTGCAAGGTCAAATTGGAAAAGCCTCCCCATTGTCTCTTTCCTCACAAATCCTGTCTTAAGGGTATGTCTGTGTTTGAATAAGGTGTGAGCCTGTGACCTGGCCAGGAACTAAGTATTTATCATTACAAAAGACTAGCCAGGTTACCCAGGAAATCCAATCAAGTAACCTGCTAGACAGGAGATAAACAAGGACAACAGATAAACAACATTTAAATTTCTGTTTAGACCGCCTTCTGTGATGTACGTATGATGTTTCTGGGGGTGGTCTTGAGGGGAAGCACCCTGTTGCAACAGATCAATAAAGATCAAGCTTACTAGCTGCTTTGCTTCTCAATATTCTCTGGTTGGCCTCTGTTATTCTCTCCTACCAATAGGGAACCTATGTAAGGACTCTATATGGGTCTTGGATACCCCATAAGGGAAAAGGGCAATTTTTTTGTTTACAACAGTATATCATAATATTTGTGCACACACAGAGACATGCACGTACAATCTCAACACGGATATGTGTACGTACATACCCTCCAACATTTCTCCAATTAAAATAAAATAGGGACATCCTATTCCATAATAATAATAATAATAGCAGTACATTCTAGGAACAAATCAGAAAGTGGGACAGCTTCTGTAAATCTGGGACTGTCCCTGGAAAATAGGGACACTTGAGAACTTCTGGGTTGGTGCCTCCGGTAATGGCGGAATTCCTCTGATCGGGAGGAATTTGCCCCGTGGGAATCTGGGTCTGGCCGCCACGGCGAAGGCGGAGACCTGCAAAAAATCACAGGCGGAAGAAGTCTGTGAGCGTGGGATTCGGCGGGCACCCTTTGCGCCTCCCCTACTCGCGGGGAAACCCGGTTTTGGGGGTCCGGAGCAATGTGGGGTGAGCGGCGCGGTGCTTCGAATCGTCTGCTTCTTCCACGGAGCGAAGCCGCATAGCTGTTGCCGGAGAGCGCTGACTTTTTCCTGTGGACAATTTGACTTTAAAGTAATTACCCGTGAGTAGAGCTGAAGCGGGTGAATTGGATTTCTATTTTTTTTAAAAAATAATATTTATTATTTTTCCAAAAACACTAAAAAAAAAAAGAAAAACAATACAATACAACACATCGAATTAACAAAACAAGATTAAGACAATAAAATAAATCAACCAATTTCATTATCCCATCTTTCATTCACTTATTTCCACGACCTCCTCACACCTCCCTTTTTATATTCCACTTTTGTTAATTATTTCAGCAATTCCTTTCCATCCTCCTCTGTTTTCAATCCTATAATTATCTTAACTCATTCTAACCTTATTTTTTTCCTTTAATACTCTATTAACCTATTTGTACTTAATTCCTTATAATATTTCTACTAAAGCCATATAACTTCATTTCAACATTTTTCTAACATTCATTAATTTTACAATATTTCTGTAGATAATCTTTAAACTTTTTCCAGTCTTCTTCCACCAACTCCTCTCCCTGGTCTCAGATTCTGCCAGTCATTTCCGCCAGTTCCATGTAGTCCATCAACTTCATCTGCCATTCTTCCCGGGTGGGCAAATCTTGTGTCTTCCAATACTTCACGATGAGTATTCTTGCTGCTGTTGTTGCGTACATAAAAAAGGTTCTATCCTTCTTTGGCACCATTTGGCCGACCATGCCTAGGAGAAAGGCCTCTGGTTTCTACAAGAAGGTATATTTAAATACCTTTTTCATTTCATTATAAATCATCTCCCAGAATGTCTTAATCCTTGGGCACGTCCACCAAAGGTGAAAGAATGTACCTTCAGTCTCATTACATTTCCAACATTTATTGTCAGGCATATGATAAATTTTTGCAAGCTTGACTGGTGTCATGTACCACCTATAAATCATTTTCATTAAGTTTTCTCTTAGGGCATTACATGCCGTAAATTTCATACCTGTGGTCCATAACTGTTCCCAGTCAGCCATCATTATATTATGTCCAACATCTTGTGCCCATTTAATCATAGCTGATTTCACAGTTTCATCCTGAGTGTTCCATTTCAACAGCAAGTTATACATTTTTGACAAATTCTTGATTTTTGGATCTAACAATTCTGTTTCCAATTTTGATTTTTCCACCTGGAAACCAACTTTTTTGTCCAAATTATATGCCTCCATTATTTGATAATAATGGAGCCAATCTCGCACTTTATTTTTCAATTTTTCAAAGCTCTGCAATTTTAATCTGTCTCCCTCTTGTTCCAGAATTTCCCAATATTTCGGCCATTTGGCCTCCATATTGAGTTTTTTCTGTGCCTTCGCTTCCATTGGTGACAACCATCTTGGGGTTTTCTTTTCTAACAAATCTTTATATCTTATCCATACATTAAACAATGCTTTTCTGACAATATGATTTTTAAACACTTTATGTGCTTTTACCTTATCGTACCACAAATATGCATGCCAACCAAATACATTATTAAAACCTTCTAGGTCCAACACATCAGTGTTTTCAAGTAGCAGCCATTCTCTCAGCCAACAAAAAGCAGCTGATTCATAATAGAGTTTTAGGTCTGGCAGGGCAAATCCACCTCTTTCTTTAGCATCAGTTAATATCTTAAATTTTATTCGAGGCTTCTTGCCCTGCCAAACAAATCTGGAAATATCTTTCTGCCACTTCTTGAAACAATCCATCTTATCCAAAATTTGTAATGTTTGAAACAAGAACAACATCCTTGGCAGCACATTCATTTTTATCACAGCAATTCGGCCTAACAATGATAACTTCAAATTTGACCATATTTCTAAGTCTTTTTTCACTTCAATCCAACATTTTTCATAATTATCCTTAAATAAATTTACATTTTTAGCCGTCATATTAACCCCTAAATATTTCACTTTCTTAACCAATGTTAGTCCTGTCTCTTCCTGAAATTTCTCTCTCTCATTTACAGTTAGTAAATTTTTCTCTAAAACCTTCGTTTTCATCTTGTTCAGCTTAAAACCTGCTACCTGTCCAAATTCTTGAATCAGTTCCAATACCCTTTTTGTGCTAGATTCTGGTTCCTGTAGGGTCAATACTAGATCATCAGCAAATGCTTTCAATTTATACTGTTTAACTCCCACTTGTATACCTTTGATCTCTTGGTCCTTTCTTATCATGTTTAACAAAACCTCAAGGACCCATATAAAAAGCAGTGGAGAAATTGGGCAACCTTGTCGTGTCCCTTTCTCAATCTTGAACTCTTCTGTCACAACATTGTTCACAATTAATTTTGCCTTTTGTTCTGAATAAATTGCACCTACACCATTTTCAAAACCTTGGCCTACCCCCCATCCCCTGTAGATTCTTCTTCATAAAGCTCCAAGAAATGTTGTCAAAGGCTTTCTCCACGTCCACAAATATCAAGACAGCCTTAGTATTAATATTCACTTGAAGTTTTTCTAAAATATTAATTATATTCCTCATATTGTCAGACAAATGTCTGCCCGGGAGAAAGCCCGCTTGATCTTTATGAATTTCTTCTACTAACACCTTTTTTAATCTTTTGGCCAAAATGTCTGCAAATTTTTTATAATCCACATTTAGAAGCGATATGGGGTGGTAGTTTTTGAGCTTTGTCTTTTCAGTCTCTGTTTTCGGTATAAGTGTAATGTAAGCTTCCTTCCACGACTCTGGTGCCTTCCCTCCTTCCAATATTTCATTACAGACTTCCTTCAATGGTTGTATTAACCAATCTTTCAAAGATCTGTAATATCTTGAAGTCAAACCATCTGGTCCTGGAGATTTACCTAATTGCATGTTCTGGATAGCCCCTTCCACCTCTTGGTCCGTTATTTTGTAGTTCAACATTAGTTGTTTTTCCTGTGAGATTTTGTGTAGTCCATTTATTTTCAAGAATCGATCAATGTCTATTTCTTTCTGCTTCTCCTGTGTATAGAGTTGTTTGAAATACCTCTGGAAACACTTCCTAATTTCCACTGGGTTCTGTATATTTTTTCCTTCCACTTCCAAATTCGTGATAGTATTGAGTTTTTGTCTTTTTTTCATTTGCCAGGCCAACAATTTTCCACACTTATTTGCCGATTCAAATGTCTTTTGCCTCATCTGTTTTATCTTCCATTCTATTTCCTGATTCATCAGTTTCGCATATTGTACCTGGTATAACTTTATCTCTTTCAAAAACTCCTGTGACTTTAGTTTTGCTCTCAGTTTCTTCTCTCCTTCCCCTATCTTTCCCAGGATTTTATCCTTTTTTTCATTCTGAGTTCTCTTCTTAATTGCATTCTGTTGTATTAGGAATCCTCTCATAACCGCTTTGCTTGCATCCCAAATTACTCTTTTTTCCACTGTAGTGTTCATTCTTGGCCCAGTCTTTTATTGCTCAATATTTTCCTGTGTAGCCTTATCACATGTGTTTCTTGTAAACAAATTAAGTCCAAATGTTCTTTTTTTCAACAAAAGAAAGATTTTCCGGACTTCCGGGGTGGCGCCATCGGTAATGGCTGCTTCTCTCTAATTCGGAGAGAACTGGCTCTACGGAATCTGGGTCCTGCCGCTACGGCGCAGCGGGGACCCCCAAAAAAAATCACAGGCGGGTGAAGCCTGTGACCGTGGGACTCAGCGGGCACCGTTTGCGCTCCCCCAATTGCTAAAGGAGCTCGGCAACGGGCTCCGGAGCAGAGCGGGGGTGGTGTGGTGCTGTGAGCAAATTGCTTCTTCCGTGGAGTGAAGCCGCGAAGCTGTTACCGGAGAGCGCTGCCTTTTTCCTGGGATAATCGGACTTTGAAAACAACTACCCGTGAGTAGGATCAAATTGGATCTAAAAGAAAAAAGTTAATTTGGCACGGAGCGGGGAAGGTACAACCAGGAAGTCTGCCTTCCTTGTATTGTAAATAGATCAAAGCAAAGAGACTCTAAAGCGGAAACACAGAAAGTTACTTGAAAAAGAGCTAAATCCTAACATCTTGAAAGTGGTTCCCCCTCCGGATTGCAGGAGAGGAGGGGGGAAAAAGACTGAGCTGAATTTCCCTGCAATAAAGAAGGGGAAAGGAAGGAAAAATTTACTGTTTAAGACTTGGAACGGACTGCCTTGAGATAAGGGTTGCATAGTGGAAAGTCTATTTCTGACAGCCAATTCTGCAAAAGGGTTACAGTGTTTCTGGACTTCTTTTGGCTTGAAAGTAACTGTTTAAGTGCATTGAGACTGTGGTTTTTTAAAGTAAATTGGGGGACTTATAAAGACTATCTTTGTTTTTAAAAGTTGCAAGTTCTGGCTGTTACTGTGTCCCCCTAGAGGAAGTTGGACACTGTTACAACAACAGTTACAACAACAGTTGGTTTAGAGGAAAATTCCATTTTATTCCAAAACAACTGTTTGACTGTTTGACTGACCTTGAATTTCTATGAGACTGTTATGGCAGATGATAAAGGGAAGTTAGAGAAGGCAGAACCGCAGGAAAAAACTACTAGGTCTGGCAGACATTATCGGATAGACACTGCGCTGCCGCGAAGGGGCTCAACATCTGGAGCATCTGGAGCATCAGGGGCCGCACTCCCACAGGCTAAACCAAAAGTTATGTCGTCGGAAGAAGTTTTGGCACAGGCACTGGCAAAAATTAATGAATCTTTGGAAAGCTTAAGTAAACAGGTAACTGAGACAAATAGACAAGTAGCTGAGACAAATAGACAAGTAGCTGAGACAAATAGACAAGTTGTGGAAGCATCAAACAAAATTGATTTAAACACTGCAAGTATTAATACCTTGGGGCAGAAGGTGAATGCCAACACAGAGACCATTGAAAAACTACTACAGGAATCTGCCTCGATTCGAAAGACAGCAGAGGAAGCAAAAGATATTGCAACTGTTACTCAAGAGAAAATTCCACCAGTATATAAGAAATTGGAGGACCATGATGTGACATTTTCTATGATTGAACTGAAAGATAGACAAAGAAATTTAAGAATCAGGGCTGTTCCAGAACGGGAGAAAGATAACTTGGCTGACTTTCTTACACAGGAATTTACAGATTTTTGGCAACTGGACCTGGGGAAGGAAGAATTTAAGATAGTGAATGCATTTAGGCTCGGAAGAAGACAAGGTAAGGACAAGGTGAGAGACTGTTTGATTACCTTTCGAACAAAAGAAGAGAGAGATGAAATTCTGAATCTGCACTATCAAAAAACCTTGGAAATTGACGACTCAAGTTTGGTGATCTTTAAGGACATCCCAAAGCATCTGTTGGACTTAAGGTCCAATTACGGAGACCTAGTGACTTTGTTGAAAAGAAATAGAATTCTTTTCAGGTGGGAATTCCCTCAAGGCCTGTCCTTCAAACACAAAGGAAGAAAGATAAAAATAAAATCAGTTGAGGAAAAAGACAGGTTCTTGAAAGACCACGAGGAAGACCTACTGAAAGAAGGGGAATCTGAAGAAGAACCAAAAGGTATATTAGATATATCAAATCTATCCTTTGGACTGCACGGTCCAGAAAAAGTGATACTACCCACAGAACAAGAACTGACGCTCGGAGCAGTTGGAGGTAAAGTGAAGTAGCCCCCATCATGGCTCTGCAACTATTAAGCTGGAATTGTAACGGTTTGAATTCTCCTCGGAGGAGAAAAAATGTGTTTCATTTATTAAAAAAAGAACAATTGGACTTGATTTGTCTACAAGAAACACATATAACAAGGGCACATAGGAAGTTATTGATTAATAAAAGATTGGGACAGGAGTTTGTTTCATCTGACAAAGTTAAAAAAAGAGGAGTTGTGATTTATGTAAAGGAGAGATTTTCACCGAAACTTATCTTTAAAGATGACCAAGGAAGATTTGTGGCAGTTGAAATCCAGGTACAAGGAGAGAAATTTTTGATTGTGGGAATTTATGCACCGAATGAGGGGAAATCTGAATTCTATAAAAAGTTGCATGAGACTTTACTGGATTATTTGGATTACAATTTGATTTTGATGGGGGGACATGAATGGAGTAGTATCTACAAATATGGACAAGGCACAAAGACAGGTAGTTACCAAGGATGGTAGATTACCGAAAACATTCTTTGAGATGACAGACAATATGGACTTAGTGGACATTTGGAGGGTAAAGAACCCCCTGGGAAGAGAGGGAACCTTCTTTTCTGAAGCCAAGATGACATGGACTAGAATTGACCAAATATGGATAACTAGAGGAATGGCACCAAAGATAAAGAAAGTAGAAATCTGCCCAAAAACCTGCTCCGACCACAACGCTGTAAGGATGGAGATGAAACAAATAACAACCGGATCCTTTAGATGGAGGATGAATGACACCTTATTTAGAGATGAAGAAGTCTATAAAAAGGCCCAAAAAACTTTGAGAGACTACTTTGAAATAAACATGAACACCAATGTAGAAAAAGAGTAATCTGGGACGCAAGCAAAGCTGTCATGAGAGGGTTTTTGATACAACAGAATGCAATAAAGAAGAGAAGTCAAAATGAAAAGAAAGACAAAATTTTGGAGAAAATAAAAGAAGGCGAGAAGAAATTGAGAGCAAAACCAAAGTCCCAGGAGATTTTGAGAGAAATAAAATTATATCAAGTACAATATATGGAAATGATGAATCAGGAAATAGAATGGAAAATCAAACAAATGAGACAAAAACACTTTGAATCAGCTAACAAATGTGGGAAATTGTTGGCCTGGCAAATGAAAAAAAGACAAAAATTAAATACCATTACAAATTTAGAAGTGGAAGGAAAGAGTATACATAACCCAATTGAGATAAGAAATTGCTTCCAGAGGTACTTTAAACAATTATACACACAAGGGCCACAGAAGGAAATGGACATAGACCGATTTTTGAAGACAAATGGCCTACAAAAAAATCTTTCAAGAAAGTAAATTAATGCTGAACTATAAAATATCTGAACAGGAAGTAGAAGGTGCCATACAAAACATGCAACTGGGCAAATCTCCAGGACCGGATGGGCTGACTTCCAGATACTATAGATCTCTGAAAGAGTGGTTATTGAAACCTTTGAAGGAAGTCTGCAATGAAATATTGGAAGGGAAAAGGGCGCCAGAGTCGTGGAAAGAGGCGTATATTACACTTATACCGAAAACAGAGACTGAAAATACCCAGCTTAAGAACTACCGCCCTATATCGTTACTTAATGTGGATTACAAAATTTTTGCAGACATTTTGGCCAAGAGATTGAAAAAAGTGTTGATGGAAGAGATTCATAAAGACCAAGTGGGCTTTCTCCGGGAAGACACTTGTCCGATAATTTGAGGAATATAATTGATATTTTGGAAAAACTAGAAGTGAACATAAATACTAAAGCAGTTTTGATATTTGTGGACGCGGAGAAAGCTTTGATAATATCTCTTGGAGTTTTATGAAGAAGAACCTACAGGGGATGGGGGTAGGCCAAGGTTTTGAAAACGGTATAGGTGCAATATATTCTGAACAAAAGGCCAAATTAATTGTAAATAATGTGGTCACGGAAGAATTTAAGATAGAAAAAGGGACACGACAGGGGTGCCCAATTTCCCCATTGCTTTTTATATCGGTCCTGGAGGTTCTGCTAAACATGATTAGAAAGGACCGGTTGGTTAAAGGTATACAGGTCGGAGCTAAACAGTACAAACTGAGAGCATTTGCAGATGACTTAGTATTGACGTTACAGGAGCCAGAATCTAGCACTAAAAGAGTTTTAGAATTAATTCAAGAATTTGGTCAGGTGGCAGGCTTTAAATTGAACAAGCTAAAAACTTAGGTTTTAGAGAAAAATTTAACACCGATTGAAAGAGAGAGGTTTCAGAATGAGACAGGATTGACTGTGGTAAAGAAAGTGAAATACCTGGGGATTAATATGACAGCTAAAAATGGGAACTTATTTAAAGATAATTATGAAAAATGTTGGACTGAAGTGAAAAAAGATTTAGAAATCTGGTCAAATTTGAAACTTTCACTGCTGGGCCGTATTGCTGCGATAAAGATGAATGTATTGCCTAGAATGTTGTTTTTGTTTCAGACACTACAAATTGTGGATAAGATGGACTGTTTCAAGAAGTGGCAGAGATATATTTCTAGATTTGTCTGGCAGGGCAAGAAGCCCAGAATAAAATTTAAGATATTAACTGATGCCAAGGAAAGAGGTGGATTTGCCCTGCCAGACTTTAAACTTTACTATGAATCAGCAGCTTTTTGCTGGCTGAAAGAATGGCTACTTCTTGAAAACACAGACATTTTGGATTTAGAAGGTTTTAACAATTTATTTGGATGGCATGCATACTTATGGTATGATAAGGTCAAAGCACACAAAGCATTTAAAAACCATATTGTCAGGAAAGCATTGTTTAATGTTTGGATAAGATATAAAGATTTATTGGAAAATAAAACCCCAAGGTGGCTGTCACCAATGGAAGCAAAAGCTCTGAAAAGGCTCAATATGGAGGCCAAATGGCCGACATATTGGGAAATTTTGGAACAAGAAGGAGATAAATTGAGATTGCAGACTTTCGAAAAACTAAAAAACAAAGTGAGAGATTGGCTTCATTACTATCAGATAATGGAGGCATATAATTTGGATAAGAAAATAGGCTTCCAGGTGGAAAAGTCAAAATTAGAGACAGAACTGCTAGAACCCAAAACTAAGAATCTGTCAAGAATGTATAACTTGCTGTTGAAATGGAATACTCAGGATGAAACGGTGAAATCTGCTATGATTAAATGGGCACAAGATGTTGGACATAATATTATGTTTGCTGACTGGGAACAGTTATGGACCACAGGTATGAAGTTTACGGCATGTAATGCCCTAAGAGAGAATATTATGAAAATGACATACAGGTGGTACATGACCCCAGTCAAGCTTGCAAAAATCTAACATTTGCCTGATAACAAATGTTGGAAATGTAAAGAAACTGAAGGTACATTCTTTCACCTTTGGTGGACGTGCCCAAAGATCAAGGCTTTCTGGGAAATGATATATAATGAACTGAAAAAGGTATTTAAATATACCTTTCTGAAGAAACCAGAGGCCTTTCTTCTGGGCATTGTCGGCCAATTGGTGCCAAAGAAGGATAGAACCTTTTTTATGTATGCTACAACAGCAGCAAGAATACTCATCGCAAAGTATTGGAAGACACAAGATCTACCCACTCTGGAAGAATGGCAGATGAAGGTGATTGACTACATGGAACTGGCGGAAATGACTGGCAGAATCCGAGACCAGAGAGAAGAGTCGGTGAAAGAAGACTGGAAGAAATTTAAAGACTATTTACAGAAATATTGTAAAATTAAGGAATTTTAGAAGGATGTTGGATAGAAACTAAGAGGTTTTTAGCTGTAATACTTTAAGAGATATGAAAAAGGTTTGCAACTGGGTAATTTTAATGGTAAGGATTTGCTGAACTAACAAATTGAACTGGAATACAAAAAAGGGAGGTATGAGGAGGTCCGGGGAAATAAGTATAGGGAAGATAGGTTATGGAAAATTAATGTCTTTTTAACTGTTTATTTGGTATGTTTCTTTTTATTTATTTTTTTTACTTTTTTTGGTTATATTTTTTTTTAAAAAAACTTTATTCTTTTTCTTTTTGTATTCTGTATTTTTGTATTTTTTGAAACTTTAATAATATTTTTTTTTATTTTTATTTTAAAAAGAAAGATTTTCCGTCTCTTTTCAGGGGAATTCAGTCCATTTACATTCCAGCTCAAAACCTGCAACGCCATCATGTAGTTACGCTAATGTTCCTCCAACTGCACCCAATGCTTGCTCTTCTTCTGTTGGTAGTAATGGTAGCACTTTCACTGGGGAGTCCAGTCCAAAAGACAATGTTGATATGTCCAGTGTTCCCCTGTTTGGTGATCTTCTGTCCGATGCTCTTGGCTCTTTTCCAAGTCCCTTCTGCAAATCTTCCTCGTACTTGTACACAAATTTCACTTTGTCCTCTACTGATCTTATTTTTATTTTCCTACTTTTGAAACTGAAAGATAGGCCTTGGGGAAATTCCCACCTAAAGATAATTTTATTTTTTCTCAGCAGGGCAACAATATCTCCGTAGTCAGGCCTAAGATCCAAAAGATATTTCGGGACGTCTTTAAAAATTACCACTCTTGACTGTTGTACTTCTAGGTTCTTCTGGTAGTGCCAACCCAAGATTTTATCTCTCTCTTCTTTAGTTCGAAAAGTAATCAAGCAGTCTCTTATTATATTCTTCTCTTTTTCCCCTCCTCTTCCAAGTCTAAAGGCCCTCACAATTCTAAACTCTTCTTGTCCCAAGTCCAGTTCCCCAAAATCAGCAAATTCCTGTGTAAGAAAATCTATCAAACTTTCCTTCTCAAATTCAGGTAGGCCTCTGATCCTCCAATTTGTCTGTTTTTCTTTAAGTTCAATCATAGCAAGCGTCAGCTTTTGTTCATCATGTTGCCTCTGTAGGGCTGGGACTCTCTCTCTCTCCAATTGTGTTACTTTGCATTCAGCAGCTGCAGCCTTTTCCCTAGCTTCCTCCGCAGTCTGCCGTGTCAAATTGGATTTCTGTATCAATTTCTGAATCGTTTCTGTATTGGTATTCACCTTTAGTCCCAAATTGTTTATGCTTTCCGTATTTAAATCAATTTTTTTATTTCCAGCGTCCACTTTCTTATTAAGCTGTTCCAATGCATCATTTATCTTACTTAACGCAACCGCTATTACCTCTTCTGATAGCATTCCTTTTGATTTTGGTTGTGCTGATATAGACACAGCAGCAGCCGGAGGAAGGGGATCTGGTATTGAACTTCTCCTAGGTTGCTGCCTAATCCTCCCAGACCTTAGTGTTTTTTCAGCAGTTGGCAAATCTATTTTTTCCTTTCCATTTGCCATAACACTTAAACAATTCAAGGTCAGTCCCAGAGTCACACAGTTCTTATCTTACAGCTGGAAATTCCCCTAGCTCCACACTTGTAGAACTCTTGTAGAACAACCAGTTTCAAAAACTTTCACTAGAGGGAAACAGTTTCAATTTATGTTACTTGTTTTGATAAATAGTGTCCTCTTTTAAACACAATTCAAACATCCAAAGTTAGTTTCAGTTTTCTGTTACTATTTGTTCCTTTTTAGAAACAACCAGAGACTGTAGAAGCAATGTAGAAACAATGTATTTGTCTTACTTAGCTAGCTGTCAGTGAACATTCTATACGCTGTCAATGGACATTCCAAAAGACGTCAATCCAGCAAGCAGCCCGTTTCCAGGGTCAGAGCGGCAGTATTCTGACTCTCTTCACTCTCTCCTGCAGGTCTGCTCAGTCCACAACTTCCCCCCTCTTCTCCTGCCCCCGAGGGGGGATTAAATGTTCTTTACCGTTGAAATTTTAGTCTTTTACAAAGGGCTTTCCAAGGCTTCAGCTTGCAGCCTTTTTGCCTCAGTCTATTTACAGAAAGGGAAGGCGGGGAAAAAAAGGGAAGCCGTGAAAAAAGCAGACAACTCGAAGCACCGCGCCACTCACCCCATGTCGCTCCGGAACCCCGAAATCTGGTTTCCCCGCGAGTAGGGGAGGCGCAAAAGGTGCCCTCCGAATCCCACGTTCACAGGCTTCTCCCGCCTGTGATTTTTTTCGGGTCTCCGCCTTCGCCGTAGCGGCCAGACCCTATTTTCCACGGGGCAAATTCCTCCCGGTCAGAGGAATTCCGCCATTGCCGATGGATTTCTAAACGTTTAATTTGGTATTGTAACGGGGAGGCTCAATACAGGAAGTCCGCCTTCCCCTTTTGTAAATAGACTGAAGCAATGAGGCTGCAAGCTGAAGTCTTGGAAAGCCCTTTGTAAAAGACTAAATTTCCATCGGTAAAGAACAAAACCCCCCTTTGGAGGCAGGAGAAGAGGGGGGGAAGTTGTGGACTGAGTATGCCTGCAGGAGAGAGCGAAGAGAGCTAAAATACCGCCGCTCTGACCTGGAAACGGGCTGCTAGCAGGACTGACATCTTTTGGAATGTTCATTGACAGCATTTAGAACGTTCATTGACAGCTAGCTAAATAAGAGAAATACATTGTTTCTAATGTCTCCGGCTGCTTCTAAAAAGGAGTAAAAGTAACTGAAAAACTGAAACTAATTTTGGATTGTTTGAACTGTGTCTAAAAGAGGACATTACTGACTAATATAAATAGAAACTGTTTCCCCCTAGTGGAAGCCTTTGAAACTGGTTGCTTTATAAGAGCTGGGTTGGGGGAATTTCCAGCTGCAAGATAAAAAACTGTGAGACTCTGGGACTGACTTTGAATCTTTCAAGTGTTATGGCAAATGGGAAGGATAAAACAGACCAGTCAACTGCTGAAAAAACATTAAGGTCTGGGAGGACTTGGCACCAACCCAGGAGAGGCTCAACATCAGGCCCCCCTGCTTCTTCTGCTGCTGCTTCTGTACCAGTACATTAGAAACCAAGAGGAATGTCGACAGAAGAGGCCTTAGCGGTTGCATTAAATAAGATAAATGATTCACTGGAACAGCTTAATAAGAAAACAGATGCGACAAATGCGAAAGTGAATGCTGTAACTGAAAGTATAAATAATCTGGGACAAAAGGTGAATACCAATACAGAAACTATTCAGAAATTGATATAGGAATCTACTTTGATACGGCAGACTGCGGAGGAAGCCAGGGAGAAAGCCGTTGCTGCTGAATGTAAAGTAACACAACTGGAGAGAGAGAGAGTCCCAGCCCTACAGAGGCAACTTGATGAACATAAGTTGACGCTTGTTATGATTGAACTTAAAGAAAAACAGACGAATTTGAGGATCAGAGCCCTACCTGGATTGGAGAAGGAAAGTTTGACAGATTTTCTCACACAGGAATTTGCGGACTTTTGGGACTTGGACTTGGGTCAAGAAGAGTTTAGAATTGTGAGGGCCTTCAGACTTGGAAGAGGAGGGAAAAAAGAGAAGAATAGAATAAGAGACTGCTTGATCACCCTTCGAACTAAAGAAGAGAGAGATAGAATCTTGGGTTGGCACTACCAGAAGAACCTAGAAGTACAACAGTCAAGAGTGGAAATTTTTAAAGACGTTCCGAAATATCTTTTGGATTTTAGGCCTAACTACGGAGATATTGTTGCCCTGCTGAGAAGGAACAAAATCATCTTTAGGTGGGAATTCCCCCAAGGTCTATCCTTCAGTTTTAAAGGAAGGAAAATAAAAATAAGATCAGTAGAAGATAAAGTAAAGTTTTTGCATAAATACGAAGAAGATCTGCAGAAGGGACTTGGAAAAGAGCCAGGAGCATCGGATAGAAGATCATCAGATAGAGGACAAGAGCAAAAAGCATCGGATAGAAGATCACCAAACAGGGAAATATTGGATATATCAGCATTATCCTTTGGATTGGATCTCCCAGTGAACGTGTCACCACTACCACCAACAGAAGAGGAGCAAGCATTGGGTGCAGTTGGAGGAATATCAGTGTAATTACATGATGGCATTGCAGGTTTCGAGCTGGAATGTGAATGGATTAAATTCCCCAGAAAAAAGGCGGAGAGTCTTTCATTTATTGAAAAAAGAACATTTGGACTTGATTTGTTTACAAGAAACACATGTGATAAGGCTACACAGGAAGATATTGAGTAATAAAAGATTGGGCCAAGAATTTATCTCATCAGATAAAGTTAAAAAAAGAGGAGTGGTCCTTTATGCAAAGGAGAGCCTATCACCGAAATTCATATTCAAAGATGACCAAGGAAGATTTGTTGCAATTGAAATTCAATCACAAGGAGAGAAATTCCTGATTGTAGGTATTTATGCACCAAATGAAGGTAAATCGGAGTTCTTTAAGAAGCTACATGAGACTCTGATGGATTACATGGACTATAATATGATCTTGATGGGAGATATGAATGGAGTGGTGTCTACAAATATGGACAAGGCACAGAGACAGGTAGTCACCAAAGATGGTAGACTACCAAAAACCTTTTTTGACATGACTGAAAATATGGACTTAGTTGACATTTGGAGAATGAAGAACCCTCTGGGAAGAGAGGGAACTTTCTTCTCTGAGGCTAAAATGACATGGACAAGAATTGACCAAATCTGGGTAACCAGGGGATTGGCTCTGAAGATCAGCAAAGTGGAGATTTGCCCCAAAACTTGTTCTGACCATAATGCTGTGAAGATGGAAATGAAATTGACGCCAATTGGTTCCTTTAGATGGAGGATGAACGATACTTTGTTCAGGAATGAAGAGGTGACCAAGAAGGCCCAAAAAAACTCTAAGAGACTATTTTGAGATAAACATGAATACTACAGTGGAAAAAAGAGTAATTTGGAGGACGCCAAGCAAAGCGGTTATGAGAGGATTCCTAATACAACAGAATGCAATTAAGAAGAGAACTCAGAATGAAAAAAAGGATAAAATCCTGGGGAAAATAAAGGAAGGAGAGAAGAAACTGAGAGCAAAACCAAAGTCACACGAGATTCTGAAAGAGATAAAGTTATACCAAGTATGATATATGAAGCTGATGAATCAGGAAATAGAATGGAAGATTAAACAGATGAGGCAAAAGACATTTGAATCGGCAAATAAGTGTGGAAAATTGTTGGCCTGGCAAATGAAAAAGAGACAAAAACTCAATACTATTACGGATTTGGAAGTGGAAGGAAAGAATATACAGAACCCAGTGGAGATCAGGAAGTGTTTTCAGAGGTATTTCAAACAACTTTATACACAGGAGAAGCAGAAAGAAATGGACATTGATCGATTTTTGAAAATAAATGGACTACACAAAATCTCTCAGGAAAAACAGCTAATGTTGAATTACAAAATAACGGATCAGGAGGTGGAAGGGGCCATCCAGAACATGCAATTAGGTAAATCTCCAGGACCAGATGGTTTGACTTCAAGATATTACAGATCTTTGAAAGAATGGTTAATACAACCATTGAAGGAAGTCTGCAATGAAATATTGGAAGGGAGAAAGGCACCAGAGTCGTGGAAGGAAGCTTACATTACACTTATACCGAAAACAGAGACTGAAAAGACACAGCTCAAGAACTACTGCCCTATATCGCTGCTTAATGTGGATTACAAAATTTTTGCAGATATTTTGGCTAAAAGATTAAAAAAGGTGTTAGTAGAAGAAATTCATAAAGACCAAGCGGGCTTCCTCCCGGGCAGACATTTGTCTGACAACATGAGAAATATAATTAATATTCTAGAAAAACTACAAGTGAATATTAATACTAAGGCAGTTTTGATATTTGTGGATGCAGAGAAAGCCTTTGACAATATTTCTTGGAGTTTTATGAAGAAGAATCTACAGGGAATGGGGGTAGGTCAAGGTTTTGAAAATGGTATAGGTGCAATTTATTCAGAACAAAAGGCAAAATTAATTGTGAACAATGTTGTGACAGAAGAGTTTAAGATTGAGGACCAAGACGTTAAAGTTATACAAGTGGGAGCTAAACAGTACAAATTGAAAGCATTTGCTGATGACTTAGTATTGACTCTACAGGAGCCAGAATCTAGTACTAAAAGGGTATTGGAACTGATTCAAGAATATGGACAGGTAGCAGGTTTTAAGTTGAACAAGATGAAAACGAAGGTTTTAGAGAAAAACTTAACTGTGAATGAGAGAGAGAAGTTTCAGGAGGAGACAGGACTAACATTGGTTAAGAAAGTGAAATATTTAGGGGTTAACATGACTGCCAAAAATGTGAATTTATTTAAGGAAAATTATGAAAAATGTTGGATTGAAGTGAAAAAGGATTTAGAAATATGGACAAATTTGAAGTTATCATTGTTAGGCCGAATTGCTGTGATAAAAATGAATGTGTTGCCAAGGATGTTGTTTTTGTTTCAAACATTGCAAATTTTGGATAAGATGGATTGTTTCGAGAAGTGGCAGAAAGATATTTCCAGATTTGTTTGGCAGGGCAAGAAGCCTCGAATAAAATTTAAGATATTAACTGATGCCAAAGAAAGAGGTGGATTTGCCCTGCCAGACCTTAAACTTTATTATGAATCAGCTGCTTTTTGCTGGCTGAGAGAATGGCTGCTTCTTGAAAACACTGATGTGTTGGATTTAGAAGGTTTCAATAATTTATTTGGCTGGCATGCATATTTGTGGTACGATAAGGTAAAAGCACATAAAGTGTTTAAAAATCATATTGTCAGAAAAGCATTGTTTAATGTTTGGATAAGATATAAGGATTTGTTAGAAAAGAAAACCCCAAGATGGTTGTCACCAATGGAAGTGAAGGCACAGAAAAAACTCAATATGGAGGCCAAATGGCCGAAATATTGGGAAATTCTGGATCAAGAGGGAGACAGACTAAAATTGCAGAGCTTTGAAAAATTGAAAAATAAAGTGTGAGATTGGCTCCGTTATTATCAAATAATGGAGGCATACAATTTCGACAAAAAAGTTGGTTTCCAGGTGGAAAAATCAAAATTGGAAACAGAATTGTTAGATCCAAAAATTAAGAATTTGTCAAGAATGTATAACTTGCTGTTGAAATGGAACACTCAGGATGAAATGGTGAAATCAGCTATGATTAAATGGGCACAAGATGTTGGACATAACATAATGATGGCCGACTGGGAACAGTTATGGACCACAGGTATGAAATTCACGGCATGTAATGCCCTAAGAGAAAAATTAATGAAAATTTAATGATTTATAGGTGGTACATGACACCAGTCAAGCTTGCAAAAATTTACCATTTGCCCGACAATAAATGTTGGAAATGTAATGAGACTGAAGGTACATTCTTTCACCTTTGGTGGACATGCCCAAGGATTAAGACATTCTGGGAGATGATTTATAACGAAATGAAAAAGGTATTCAAATATACCTTCCTGAAGAAACCAGAGGCCTTTCTCCTGGGCATGGTCGGCCAATTGGTGCCAAAGAAGGATAGAACTTTTTTTATGTATGCAACAACAGCATCAAGAATACTCATCGCGAAGTATTGGAAGACACAAGAATTACCCACCCGGGAAGAATGGCAGATGAAGTTGATGGACTATATGGAACTGGCGGAAATGACTGGCAGAATCTGAGACCAGGGAGAAAAGTCGGTGGAAGAAGACTGGAAAAAGTTTAAAGACTATTTACAGAAATACTGTAAAATTAATGAATGTTAAAAAAATGTTGGAATGAAGTTATATGGCTTTAGTAGAAATGTTATAAGGAATTAAGTATAAATAGATTAATAGAGAATTAATAGAGAATTAAAGGGAAAAATAAGGTTAGAATGTGTTAAGATAATTATAGGATAGAAAACAGAGGAAGATGGAAAGGAATTGCTGAAACAAGTAACAGAAGTGGAATACAAAAAGGGAGGTGTGAGGAGGTCGTGGAAATAAGTGAATGAAAGATAAGATATTGAAATTGTTTGATGTGTTTAACTGTTTTTGTTTTGTTTTGTTAGTTTAGTGTGTTAGTGTTATGTAGTGTTTTTGTATTGTATTGTATTGTTTTTGTAGTGTTTAAATTGTTGGAAAAGTAATAAATAATATTTTAAAAAAAAGAAAAGAAAACAGGGAAACTTGGAGGGTCTGTACATATATAATTGCTGGCAACCCAAATTCTCTTTTAAACGCCATCCTGGCAGAGACTACCTGGTACGGCGCTGCAGATCTCTGCTCAGCATTTTTAAGCATTCCCTTAGCACCTGAGAGTCAGTTTCTTTTCGCTTTTACCTGGAAGGTGTAATAAACAAAAATCTTCCTTATTCCCTTATGGCGGACACAAGAGCCCTTATGGAGTCCTTTGTAGGTTCTCCATCGGTCGGAGAAAATAACTGTGCTGGTCCCGGGGGGAAGGTTACCGTTGGCGTAGTCAAAGTCCAGTCCTGGGTCACTAGTCTGGAAGCAGTTCACAAAGAGCGAGGCGAGGTCCGAAGCAGGAAGCCGGGCGGGGACAGGATCACTGGAAGGTCAGGTCTGGGTCTGGGCAGGAGCAGGTATTCAACGACGTTGCTTCCACAACCTGGGACCGGGCTGACTGGCCTTTATCTTCTCTGAGGCCAGGGGCGGTCCCGGCCCACAGGTGACCCGCCTCTCCTGGCCTTAAGGCGAGCACTCCTCCTGGGAGAAACCAGTTCCCTCCGCCTCTCTGCCCTGAGCCTCTGCAGCTCAGGAGAGGCTGGGGAGTTACTGGACCCAGGGGGAGACTCACCTTCCTCTGGCAGGGCCGGGAGAGGCGCACCTGTAGGCACTGTGTCCTCAATCACCTCCGGAGCTAGAGTGGAATCACCTGGTACCTGCTCCTGAGGATCCGGCACAGGTGCAGGCGCTTCAGATCCAAGGCCCCGCCCCAGCTCAGCCGGCCCTGGAGGCGGGGACTCCTGTGCAGGCTGGGGTTCCTCCGGTTCAGCATCTGAATCGGATTCCCAGGCCATCACAATAACAGAGGCCAACCAGAGAATATCGAGAAGCAAAGCAGCTAGTAAGCCTGATCTTTATTGATTCTATTGCAACAGGGTGCTCCCCTCACACGCAGGAAAGGAGGAGGACCCCGAACAAAGGTGTGCCCACCCTTATATAGACATTTTAAATTGCCCGCCCTGGAGTCCAAGACCACCCCCAGAAACATCATACATACATCACAGAAGGGGTGTAGCTCAAGACCACCCACCCCCAGATACATCATACCTACAACAGAAATCTCAGTGCATTGTTTATCTCCTGTCTAGCAGATTACCTGTTAATGGTCACTTGATTGGATACCCTGGGGAGCCTGGGCAGTCTTTTGTAATGACAAATACTTAGTTCCTGAGCCAGGTCACAGGCTCACCCTATTCATACACAGACATACCCTTAAGACAGGATTTGTGAACGAAAAGACAATGGGGAGGCTTTTCCATTTTCCTTTGACCTTGCAGAGAAATATGTGAGGTCAATTTGGGAGGGACAAAATGGTTTCAGGACTTTTTCTGTGGGGTTTCAGACATGTGGTTTATATATGCAGTTACGAACATTTGTCTTATATTTATATGTATATATATATACGTATATATGTATATGTGTATATATATATATATGTATATATATATATATGACCTTAATTATTTTATTTCAATGGCAAGCCAACTCACATGGACAAGGCTGCCCCAGGGGTACGCAGAGTCACTCGCTATATTCTCCTCAATTCTGCATCAGGATCTACAGGACCTACTTCTGCCTGCAGGGTCTGTGATGTTACAGTACGTTGGTGACCTTTTAATATGTTCTACCAGCAAGGACGTGGGTGGCGCTGTGGGTAAAACCTCAGCGCCTAGGACTTGCCGATTGCATGGTCGGCGGTTCGAATCCCTGCGGCGGGGTGCGCTCCCGTCGTTCGGTCCCAGCGCCTGCCAACCTAGCAGTTCGAAAGCACGCCCGGGTGCAAGTAGATAAATAGGGACCGCTTACCAGCGGGAAGGTAAACGGCGTTCCGTGTGCTGCGCTGGCTCACCAGATGCAGCTTGTCACGCTGGCCACGTGACCCGGAAGTGTCTGCGGACAGCGCTGGCTCCCGACCTATAGCGTGAGATGAGCGCACAACCCTAGAGTCTGTCAAGACTGGCCCGTACGGGCAGGGGTGCCTTTACCTTTACCTTTACCAGCAAGGAAGCATGCAAAACAGACACTAAACACCTCATCACAGCACTAGCTTACAAAGGACATAAAGTATCCCCTAAAAAGATACAATACTGTAAGCAAGAAATCAAATATTTGGGACACATTCTCTGGGTCGGCACCCAGAGCTTGGCCACAGATAGAAACCAGAACTAAAAAACCCTTGCCAAAAACCAAGTGCCAACTGTGAGGCTTCCTAGGCATGGCAGGATTCTTCAGGGCTTGGATAGCCAGATACAGCGAAATAACAAAGCCACTATCAGCCATGACCCAACGACCATCCCGATGAATTAGTCTGGAACGATGATGCTTTGAACGCCTCAAAAGAGAATTAAGGTCTGTTTATTCATGAACAAATGGGGGGTGGCCTCCAGAGTTTTAACCCAAACTTTCTGTGACCAACAGAGACCAGTAGCCTACTATAGCCTACAGTTAGTGAAATATACTCAGAGTCGAGAGTGGTTTTCATGCTCTTTATTCAGCTCATAGTGGTGAGGAGGGAATGAAAGTCCCCTCAAAGTATCTGCTTTATATACATTAGTTACACAATGGGCTGCACGTGATTGGCTAATTCCGGAATTCTCCTGTAGGCCAATCAGGTTGTGGATTCACTTCTATCTGGAGCTGGATTGGGTGGCTCCTGCAGACCAATCATACTGCTGCATTGTTCTAGGACCAATCAGACTGCTGCATTTTGGATCCTATTGTTCTAGGACCAATCAGACTGCTGCAGTTTGGATCCTATTCAACTCAGTACATAACACCTAGATAACACAGCAAAGGGTGCAGTAGGATGTCTGAGAGCCATTGCTGCTGCTGCCATCCTACTCCAAAAGTCGCAAGAGACAGTACTATGTCATGAAGTCACCATCCATGTCCCACATGTAGTCTCTACTCTCTTAACCCTGAAAGGCTGCCACCACTTTTCAAATCCATGCTTAAATCGCTATGAAGCACTCCTTCTCACCCCTTCCAACATAACCATAAAAAGAGTTAACTCCTTGAACCCATCTACACTTACAATCCAGTATCTTTTATTAGGCATAGCAAACCACACATTATCAAACAGACACCGTATACAAATTGTGCAAAATACGAGCTCAACATAACAAGGTTTGTCCCAGACAGATCTTTAACTCCAGAGAAAATAAATTTGCATAAATAATACAATACAGACCTACCGACTCCCCGATCAGTTAAGAACCACTGATTCTCTTTATAATGACCCAGTCTTTCTACATGGACAGCACTCAGAAATTCAGCCACTATTAAAGTAATTTGATCATTCCTGTCCAAAAGCAGGTCCTGAACCGTTGGTAGCATAGAAATCAGCCTATTGAGTTGTAAGGCCTCTAATAATTGTCTTCTGGCATAAATGCTAAAATCACAAGAAAAGAAAATATGCTCCAAAGTATCAGGTTCCTGTTTACTACATTTACAGAGACGCTCTGATTCTGGGAGATCTAAATATCTTCCTCTTACTATCATCGAGGGAACCATTAAATCTGGCTAACATAAACAGCCTGCACAATTCATGATTCTTCAGATTTTTCATGTATCCCTTTTGAAAATCTCTACACAAAGGGAGATTTAAATAGAGAGGAGAGCAAGTGCTGTGCTTTGCAACCTCAAGAGTGGAGAGAACACTTTTTTCTGTAAGATTCTTCCTGATAATTTCCCAAATATCTTTGGGGTCAGAATTTTCAAAGTCAGTTAGATTAAGCCCTATCAAATTCAATTTTCTCCTACAAATTAATGATAAATTGTAAATTACATTATCACTTAAGAGGTCGTAAAGGAGAGAATTAGGAGATAAGGCTCTATAATGCAGGAAGATCCAATATTTCAAGGTTCTCAACCATACTCTTACAGATAAAGGAAGTATTCCCAACTCACAACATATTGATTAATATTTTACAGAGTTTGCAAGTCCTAATAATGACCTCAGAAGGGATGCATGAAATTTATCCAACCTCTTGAGGTCACCTGAAATCCACACTGGGGTGCCATATAAAAGTTGAGCACAAAGTTTCATATCAATCACTTGCAATACAGCTGGAATATATCTATTTCCTACGGGTGGGAAAAAATAAGATTTAATATGGTGAGCTGTCACTTTAGTCTTAGCTATAGCAGCACAGATATGTGTGTTCCAATTCATGTTATTTTAAAATACCTATTCCCAGATAATTAAAATGCTTAACTTCTTGTATTAGATGTCCATTGGTTATCCAATTTTTGGGGTTTCCTCTCTTTGTAAATTGCATAATTTTTGTCTTATCATAGTTAATTTTGAGGTTATTAAGAGAGCAAAAATTTGAGAAACTCTTAAATAATTTTTTTAAAACCCAAAGAGGAAAGTGAGATAATTACCGCATCATCTGCATAAAGTAATTAAAAAACTGGGATATTGTTTAAATAAGGGATATGAGTGGTTGCATTTTGAAGAAATAATGGGAGGTCAGATAAAAAGAGATTAAATAGGGTAGGGGCCAAGATACAGCCTTGCCTAACTCCTTGGTTATTCAGAATTGGACCTGCAAGTCTACCATCTTTTGAAACTTTAACATCTATTTGGTTACTAGAGTGTAAACTTTTAATCAATGTAAGCAGATATGGGTCAATACCGAGGTGTTCCAATTTGGTCCGCAGTTTATTACGATTGAGCAAATCAAAGGCACTTTTAAAATTACAAATGCCACAAAGAGTCTTTGTTTGTTTCTCAAGACATATTTGTCCACAAGATGACTTAACACTAGACACTGGTCAAGAGTTGAAGAGCCTGCCTTGAAACCAGCTTGTTCCTTACCAGGTAGACCTTTTGTAAGCATCCATTCTTCCAGTTTAATAAGCAGGGATTTGGCACAGATTTTGCTTATGCATGGTAACAAACTAATAGGCCTGTAATTCTCTTGGCAATTCCTATCACCTTTTTAAAAAATCGGCACCACTATTGAGTTATTCCACGATTTAGGTACCAAGCCTGAGTGATAGATAGAATTAAAGAGTGGGACAAGATTAGTGGCCCACCATTCCACATTTAATCTCAACAGGTCTATTGAGATGCCATCCATACCTGGAGATTTTCCTTGCTTAAACAAAAGAATTATCCTTTTCATCTCCTCAACAGTAATTTGAAATTGTGTGGTTATTGCCAAAGAAGAGTTAAAATTTTCCTTCGTAAAAACTTGGGAATCATAGAAAACAGCAGTAAAATGTGTAATCCAAGCTTCATCACTTATATTAGGGAAATCAGTGGTAGCTTTTATTGAAAGGAGTGACCAAAGAGTTTTGGTATCTTTAATTTCTAATGCAGTAACAATTTTGGACCATTTGGTTTGTGAAAACAGATTTTTTTTTTCCAGGAGCATGTTCTTAAAAGCGTTTTTCATTTCAAAATAGGTCTTCCAGAGATCTTGGGAGTTAGTAATAGAGGCTTCTTTTAGACAAGTTCTAAGTTCTTTCTTATGGTTAATACATTCTTTATCAAAACAGTTATACTTATTTAAAGGTTTGTCGCTGAACTAGAGATTTAAAAAAGAAGAAAATAATTCCTGACTAGTATTGTAATAATAATCAATGTCTGCCAAAGGTATCAAATTTTGGTTAGCCAAAGGTTCGAGAATAACTGGGTTATTTTCAAATACTGCTAATAGACCCTCCCTCTTTTTATCATTTATATAAATTCTTTTGGCATAACCAGTCTTATCGGTACTAATAAGAGGACAAGGGTCATTAATTCTGGAGTTTCTATACATCTCTAAAACAATTGGAAAGTGGTCATTCTCAAAGCAGGGTACAACTGTAAAAGAGGCAACTTCATCTAACATTTCTAAGGAGACTAAGGAATAGTCAATTACACTCCTGCCCCTTTTGGAGCGGAAGGTAAAATCTCCTGGAATATCAGGCCGTATTGAGCCATTCAAAAATGCAAGATTAAATTCTAAAACCAATTGTAAGAGTTTTCCTCCCGCTTTATTAATAGTAATGTCTTTTGAAATCCTCCCTATTCTCAAAGGAAGTGGAGCATCTTCGGTTAGAGTTGAGACATAGCATTTATAGAGAGCTGTGTTATCTGATCCAATTCGCGCATTAGTGTCCCCCATTACAATCAGGGGGATATTTGGGAATTTACTGCGTATTAAGTACAGCTCTTCAAAGACTATATTCCAACAATAATGTGGTCTAGCTTCTGACTCTATGGGAGGGAAATATATATTTAAAAGAAGAATTTCCTTGCGAAAATTGGAAATGATAACAATTGTGCATACTGTCCAATATTTCTAGTGTAATTAATTTTAAGGTTCGAAGACTGTTTAATACCACAGATCAAACTGGCTTTGGGGCGTCCTTTTCTTGACATTTTAGTAGTGGGTAAATTAAAAGTAATAAAATTAGGAATAACTAAAGGTTTAAGAGACCAAGTTTCCTGCAAAAGGATTATATCATGGGAATCAAGAAAATTTATAAAATCTGGGTCAGCTAATTTACATAAAAGTCCAGCTACATTCCAGGACATGATAGAAAGGGTTTGCAGAGATCTATGATTTACGGATACTAATGGTCAATCCGATAAAGGAAGCACATTTCCACTTAATTTGTTTACATCACCAGAAGGATTAATATCAGAAGAGCATTCCAGTTCAGGCAAAGAAGACTCATGGACCCTGTTGTCGGCGCTTCTTAAACTGTCTGCTGTCAACTCCTTGTTTGAAGTCAAGTAGCCAGTTTGGGGGGCAAGATCACTAGGTCTGAGAGCATCGACAGGAATGTGTGTTCCAGAAGTCGTTCCCGGGAGTTCTTCTTCTGTTGAGGTGTCCTCTAGTGCCGGCATATCCAAGTCAGCATTTGCGGGGCAAGTTGAAGGTTGATGGATTAAAATGTTAACTTCTTGCAGATGAGCTTTGGGATAGTCCTGGAACACAGGTGGGAGAATAGGTTGCTTAACAGTTTGTGATACATCCGGTAGGTTTGGCATTATGTTATCTATCGGGAAGGTTTCTGGTTGGTCCTCGGCTGGGGGCAATCGTAGCTCAGCTCTCGGGGTGACCAGCTTCCTAGTGTGTATCTTCTGATTGAGTTCAAAAAGTCCCCCAAATATTTGTGTAGTTTCTGATCTTGCTTACTCCTCCTCCATAACTGTGGGCAAAGTCTGTTCTATGGATAGAGGTGAGGATGGATTATATATAGTGTCATAGATGTTGATTCGGCATATAGTTGGATCCAGTCCCTTGGTTTGTAAAAGCCTTTCTTGGTTGGGTGAGTCTCTTACCGGGGATTCCTCCTGTAGAAAGGCCAGTATCTCCTCTTTCCCAGACCTATCATTATTCGTATTCCTGCTGCCCACGTTAGCAGGTTCATGGGGGTTTGTTGAGGTTACGCATTGAATCTTGAATACTGTTTGTTATTTCTTCAATTTCCTCTAGTATGGAGTTAATTGGGGTTGTGTTTATCGTTACTCTTTGCTCAACATTCCTAAGGAGTGGAGATGTCTTTAAAGTCACTCTTTGAGGTCGTCCTTTATTAACTGCAGCTGTGTTAGTGTCAATCAGAGGATATGGAAAATTTCCACGTTGGCTTAATCTTGAAGGTGGGGCAGAGCTTGAGTCGGGGGGGGGGGTAGCTCAGGAGATAACCGACTTGTCGGCCTCTGTATAGCTGGAAGTAGAGGTACAGCGTCCAAGTCTGCAAACACCTTTTTAACTGTAATGTGGAAATGACTCAGGAAGCCACCCATTTTGGGGAGAAGCAGGGGGATGGCATGACTTTGAAATTTGAGAAGTAGCTTTGTTACTTTTGGATGGCTCAGCAGTTTTTCCAGCGTTTTTAAGTCCAGAGAGCCTATATCCAATCTCAAGTGAAGGAATGGGTTTCTGTGTAGCAAGTTTAAAACTGACTCAACCCCCCCTTTTGTTCTTTGAAAAGAGAGCACTTTTAAATGCGTAAAACTTGAACTGTTGAGCAAAACCATAATAAGGACACAACTGCATAAACAGTTCTGTCCTTTATCAGGACATGCAAGGGATGGCCTTGGCTCTCCAGGGGAACAAAGAAAACACGTCAGAACTTTATCTTATGTGCTGACCACAAAATACGCACAAGACCAATGTCCGAGAAAAACGCCAAAAGCGTGTTCCCGGAGATTATGACGTCTTCCCAGATAAGAGTAGGAAGAGGAAGATCCTTTTATGGTCAGAAGTACAGGAAGGAAGATCCTTTTATGGTTGAGAGTACCAGAGCAGGAACATATGTGATGTCAACCTGCGTACGTAGGCCGACGTGGTTGGGCTCCTAGGCGAGGAGTGAGAAGGTGCCTGGAGGATATATAAACTGCATGAAACCTGTCATTTCTTTGTACGTGCTGTGGACTCACCACGCAAGTGCCTTCTGCTATCCGGAGAGCAGAATAAACTCTTTTTTTGAACCAACCTCGGTGTCATTTTGACTTCCTTCCTCCTGTCCCGGAGCAACGCAGACCCAATCGGTGAACTCCAATAAGGCTACATTTCTTGGTGCATTGGCCGGGAATCCGCGTTCTCTGAAGACAAGGACAAAGGACCGGGGCGTCACTGCTCAGTGAACAGCTCGGTCGGCGTCGGTGGCTCCAAGCGCGCACCCTACATTTTCTAGGGGGAGCCCCCCACCCCGTACTTGAATGGAGACGCAGCAGAGACGGAAGAAAGACAGCAGCTGCACGGGAGAAGGGTACCCAGGGGAAAGGTAGGCTCCACAGCTTGTTTTGTGGGAGTCAGGGGTTTGATCAGCCCCGCCCAGTAGGAGCAGTAAAGTGCCGCTGGGTTTAACCAGTAGAGAGCAGAGTGCCGCTGGTTTGCCGGTAGAAGAGCAGTAAGTGCCACTGGTCTTGGGAAGTTTATGGGTAAAGGGGATTGGGGAGGTGCATGGGGGGGGGTTTGTGTGTATGGGGATTCGTATGTATGTGCATTTATTTGTGTGTGGGGACACTCCAGTGAATGTTTTGAGTGGATGAGACGTCGAGGCTCAGAAGCCACTGGTGAAGTGAAGTGTGGTCCTTGAGGTGCGTTTCCTAGCGACGCGAGTCCGTCTAGGCCACTGACAGGACGCGGAGAAAGGTGACTGAGTGAATAATTACATTAGGTGGTCAGAGTGTCCCAGTAAATTGCAGTAAATTGACCCCCTTGCAGTGTTTTATTTTGGGGACAATTGGAAATGTCAAGCTACAGTTAAAAACCCTTGTGAGCTCCTTTCTGTATTCTGGCAGTGACCAGCATAGGTGCGTCCAGTTGGCTTGTATTGTATTGCCAACACGTGGGGTCCGGGAAAAAGAGATGTGTGCTCTGCCAACGCGCAAGAGGCGCCAGGAATAGAACCCTGCATGAAGGGGTTCCCAATTCTGCCACATCTACTGTGCTGCATCTTAGGGGGTTGGGAAACAGACCTTAAAACACCTAGAATATTTCAGAGTACAAGTATAAAAAAAGGGGGGGGGATTATTTGGTCTTTAACATTAAAAGTGACATGAGTTGCTCATGAGGTCAAATTTTATATTTTCATGTTAAAGGTGGGAAGGTTTCAATTACTAATACAATCATGTAATCATGTACTGGTTTCAGAATTTGAATGTCATCAATTCACTGTGCTTTGAGCTACCTGGTATCTTAAATTTTTTGTTAAAAGTTTGTTTCTTATTGACTCTGTTGCATAGGTACCCTGGGTGATTTAGAAACCACTTGTTAAATGTTGATCAAAAGTAAAAATGTACAAATGTACCCCTGCAGTGTGTGTGTGCTAAACACATAAAATGGGGCCAAAGAACACTCAGGAAAATTACAAAATTACTAAATGTTGCATGGCATGCCAGCCCCCAGAGCAACTCTGCAAGTTAGATTTTATTATAAATCTCAGCTCAGTTTAAAATAAGGATGAGCACACTATTTGATACCAAAATTGATTTTTGCACTACCTTTCTTCTGATATATTTTTGAAATGCGTATATTTTTTATTTGTAAAAGGGATGAACAATTGTGTCCCAAATGTTATGCAGAAGGTGAAGTAGTGGTCTCGGCGGGAGAAGGTAGAGGGAAGTAGAAAAGTAGGTGAGAGGTAGAGGGTAGAGAAGTGAGAATGTTGGAACAGGAGAAAAGTTGGGTAATGGGCTGTAAAGACGGTTGAGTGTTTATGCTGATGAGTATTAATGAAAGTAATATATTAAGATGGTATTATTGAGAGAGAGTTTACTAAATATAGTAAAAGCTGAATTGCATAAAGGGTGTGTGTGACCAGTGACACACTGTTGTCAAAGTCTTGCATGTGCTGTTAAAATGCAATCAGATTCTTGGTTGAGGTTTTCATGAGTAAAACCAGCTTTTAAAGAATTCTGAATTAAGAATATAATATATTATAGAACAGCCCTCTTTTTGGCTGGCTGGACAGCTAACCATCCATAAATTAACGGCAAGAATAGTGACCTGGAATGTTGTTTGTGCTTTTTAGAATGTCCCTCCCATGAAAGATACTCCTTGGACATCTATTAATTGAAAATTGAGATGGCTCTGAGTGTACATGCCAGGAGAGGTCTTAGGCAAAATAATTTTTATTTCCCTGTTCACATTAGGCTGTGGAAAGTGTTCCAAAACAAACATCTTATATGAGAAAGGGAGATATTGAAGCTCTTTGTGTTGACTGAACCTCCAAAGTTGTCAAATGCATTAGTGACAGCAGAATCAAGATGTTGATAGACAAATACCTCAATGCTTATTGATACAATTACCCCCCTCCCACTAGAGGACTAGTGGGTAGATCCGACCCAATATTTGTGTGTTAATAATGTCTACAGCTTCAAAAGCAAACAAAAGCTCTATTAGAGGCTCTTTCCTTCAACTATACAATCTCGCAGGAAGTGCAGAGAAAGTGGAATTGGGTTTTCAAACCAAAATGCTAAGTAAAACAGGATGATGTGAACACTGGCCCAACTGAATGCATGAATGTGTGAATCCATTTAGGAAGAGTGTTGGGATGAAATAGCAAATGTGTGTATTGGGAAACTGGGACCTTAATTCATAAAGCAAATAACACCAAGCAAGCTTTGTCCTTCAGCAGAATACACTTAAGATACAGTGTACACAAATCTACAGTGATACACAAAAGCTACAGAGCTTTTCTCTAGTGTAAGATTTGTTTACATCCTCTGTAGCATATGCAAGCAGGACCAAAAATGCAGGAGGAATCAGATGCCACATTTTGAAGTAGGTGAAGGCCCCACTGCCTGTATTCGTTCATTTGTGGTGTGTGCCTTTCTTTGTGGTTTCAAATATGGAAGTTATCAGGCACTTCTTATCCGGGCTGCTTGTATGCTGTCATAGCCTTCTACGTGGTGTTCCCTAAAATGTTCCTAGTGCTCTAGGTCAGATATTTAGTTTCACATTATGAAAAGGAACAAGCAGGAACCTTTCCCCTAAACGGTGTCTTGGTACCTGCTCTTTCAACCCCCCTTCCCGATACCCCCCATCTGCTCTATATAGGATTGAATTCAATAGATATGGGGGGGGACGACTTCGTGTTAAAGAGTTGAATTGCACTCTGTCTCCTTCTGTGTGTGATATACAGATGCAGAAATGAGTTTATATTTAGTCAGCATGAGTTGCTTATTCCTTCTGTTTAATAGGAATACCCTTTCTGACTGTCATCAGAAGTTTTCTTATAAGAAAATTCAGCCATACAGCATTTAACCTAGTGTTGTGCCATAATTTTAACTGAACCACTCTCCCAAGTCAATTAAGTACGTGAATATCAAGGATTAAATTATTTGCAGATAAATAATAATAATAGGGGGAAACTAGGAAGGACTGTCCTACA